CGATAATAATAAGTTTGAAAACATTTACGGAAGTTTTTAACAGTTAAAGAACTATTTGAAACATAGGAAATTCCAAGAATAAATACAATCCAGCCCAAAATCGGGGTGTCACTGAGTGCACGAGCGTCTAAGGAAAAATACATAGTCTCATATAATGTCTAAGGAAACAACTGAAATACAACTGGAAAGTAAGGTGGAGAGCCAAGGCCTGCGAACGCCGTGCAGGTACCTCAATAATCTTTTAAGTCAAAAGCCTCGATCAAACATCCGCCACTGGATCCAAAGTGCCTGAATCTGCACACGAGGTGTAGGGGGTAACGTGAGTACACCAACTCAGTAAGTAACAAGTCCAACCTTTGGACTGATAGGTAGTGACGAACTCAACCTCCTCAAGGATAACAGAAATAACGTACAGAAACGTAGGCATGCTTTCAGTTAAATAAACAGCTTGAACAGTAAAATGGAGCAAGTATGAACAAGGTAAAGAAGTGTACTCTGCTACATCTACATGTCAATGCACATGCTGAGTGCCTCATGTGAAGCGTTACTTACCTCAAGTCAAGCCAAACCCTAGCCCGCAATGCCCTTCCCTCTCGATTCGGCCTCCAAATGCCCTGAATCTAAACAAAATCAGAACTATAACATCAATATATACTAAAGGAACAAATCCCATGAGAAAATAATCAAATTACATCACAAATCCCGAAATTGGTCAAACCCAACCCCCGGGCCTACGCCTCGGATTCAGATAAAAATCACATCACTAAAATCCTTATCCTCCCATGAGTCTATACATACCAAGAACATCAAAATCGGACCTCAAATAGCCCCTCAAATCACCACTCAAAGCTCTCCAAAACTCAAGCCCTAATCCTCAATTTTTAGGCTTTAAATCCAGCAAATTTCATGATTAAACAATGGAAAAATCATCATAAACACAAATAATAAGGCCCAAGTAACTTACTCCATTGAAAATCCTTGATTCCTCTTGAAAATTACTGCCCAAAGCTCAAATCCCAGCCAAAAATGGTGAAGAATGACCAAAAATTTGCGAAGGGTCCTTTATATACACTCTGCCCAGAACTTCCGCATATGCGGTCCCCACTACGCATCTGTGGAGCCGCATCTGCGAAAAATTCTCCGCTTCTGCGGAAATTTCATTAAAAGGCATTTCCGCTTCTGTGGTTGCATGACCGCACCTGCGGTCATCGCAGATGCTGGTACCAAACCGCACCTGCGACCCCTGTTGCGCACATGCGCTACATAACCGCTTCTGCGGACGTCGCACCTGCGGTCCTCAATCCGCAGGTGCTGAAATAACATGAACAACAAAATCTGCAGCACAACTCAAATTTCAAACTTCCCGTCAACCCCTCAAAACCATCCCGAGGCCCTTAGGACCTCAACCGAACACACCGACAAGTCACATAACATCATTCAAACTTGCTCCAACCTTCGGAACGCTCAAAACAACATCAAAACATCAAATCACCCTCGGATTGAAGCCTAAGGATTCCAAAAACTTTTGAATTCCAAATTCGATCAAAAAGTCTATCAAACCTCGTCCGAATGACTTGAAATTTTGCACACACATCACAAATGACACAACGGACCCACTACAACTTCCGGAATTCCATTCCAACCCCGATATCAATATTTTCACTACCAACGGTAAGCGCCAAAATTCCAATTTCGCCAATTCAAGCCTAAATCTACCACGGACCTCCAAATTACATTCCGAACACGCTCCTAAGTCCCAAATCACCTCACGAAACTATCCGAATCATAAAAATCAAATTCCGAGATCGTTTACTCACAAGTCAACTTCCAGTGGACCTTTTTTTTCCCCAACTAAATGGCCAACTTAAGAGACTAAGTGTCTCATTCCACCACAAAACCACTCCGAACTCGAACCAATCAACCCGATACCACATAATACAGCTGAACAAGACATAAAGAAGCAAAAATGGGAAAAACGGGGCTGAAATTCATAAAATGGCCGGCCGGGTCGTTACACGTTCATACGCAGGAGCTCATAATTCAGCATATTATGCTGTAACTTTCCGCGTTTCAACAAAATAGTGGTTATTTTTCAATGACTTTGCAAACAATAGCTTTTATTCAACTACCAGTCCAAAAACTGACTAGCACGTGCTATTATTAGTGAGAGTGTTCACCAAACTCATTCAACGCAAACGTCTCACAAGTCGCAACATCGTGAAGATATTCGTCTTTAGTTAATGAAGAACTATGATCAGAAATTTTCTAATTGTCATCAATTTTGTGAAAAAAGAGAAAATGAATTTGGTCCGTTTGGCTTAGCTACTGCAACATTATCCAAATCCAAATCAATCTGACTTTTGCCGCTAAATTAGTGCCGACGGTTCAGTAATAAATTGTTAAAAGCCTATAATTAGGGTGAAAATTTTTGGGGTAAAATATCAGTGACATTTTGTCGGGATTATTTAACTATAAAAAGTTCTGATTGGTTTGGTTTAAATTTATATACTCTTTCCGGTTACTTCTACCTGGCATGTATTATATACTAAAAACAAATGTTCACTTTTACTTGGCACTTTATACATATAAAGAGAAGGCAACAAACTTTTTCCTGTTTTACTAATAGTATTTCTCATTTCAAATCCAATAAAATATGCATCAATTAATATGGGTGTCACGATAAAATAATTTTTTTCTTAAGGGGCGTAAAAAGTCAAAAAATACCAAATGACCGAAGGGAGTATCTTGGTGTTGCAAAATTCGAAAAACAGAATCTAGTCAAACCGCGGGAAACTTTTCCAGCTTGCAATACAACGTATCACAAAAACTAAAAAAGAAAAACATTTTCCCAAAAACTGATCGGAACAAAAGAGTTTTTTTTTTTTTTTTTTTTTTTAAAAAGATCATTTCTAAAAACTGAACCAAAATCATTTCTAAACACCACCTAAATTTTTGCTAATGAGATTAATTCATTCGTCATCAATTAGTGTGTTGGCGTTATCTTTTGCGTATTACGTTATAGAATACCAACTTTCACAACTGCGTCAAACTTTAGATATAGTCCCAATAATATAATATAGTCCCAAAGAATTAATAAAGATTAATTACTTGTCAACTTTAGATAATAAAGCACGATTGCCTTACGTGTCAGGAATCAGGAAATCGTAAACGCTGATGCTTTACAATTGGCAAAACAATGAAAGCAAAAGACAGAAAATCATCAGCATTACTAACTTTTACTACTAATTAATTACTCCTACTTATTTCAATACCTGGAAAATCTAGTTGATGATTAATACCAGCTAAGATATGCATATTTGAAGAATAGATAATTCAATCATTCAACGTGATTCTTGAGAACAATCGTCATGTTCTTTTTAATTTACTTTTTTCATAACCGTGGTGTTTGGACCGGCCAGCTTATCTCGACTAATTCTACGAGGTATCTCTTACTTATTATCAACATAAATATGAAATAACTCTATCCGCCAAAAATTGGACGGATGAGAAAAAAGCATCTAGTCTTTTTAATTTACTAATTAGTATGACGTAAAGTGGTCGTGACTTGTAAGTTGAGTACCGTGTAAAAAATTGGTGTATTTACTTGTAATTTAAAATTCAATATGCAATTAAGTCGGTCCTATTCATATATAGTTGCTTTTGAATTTATCGTTATATCTTTTACCTACGACTAAAAAATTTTGGTTGTTCAACATACCACAGCCATTCTTGATTATTTTAATCAAGGTTGTACATGGATCGGGTTGATTCGATTTTTATTAAAATTAAACCAAACCAATTATATCGGTTTGGTTTTCTCGGGTTTTTTGGGTTTTTGGTTTTTTTTTGTTACATGGATATTATTCGAATATTACTTTGTTAATGTTATAGATAAAATTTTAATAAGTGAACAAATGTTTAGTAAATATTGAAAAAATTGACAAACGTATGATTTATTAAAATATTCCAATGGGAGAAATTTGTTTGTAACATATGATAGTTATTTTCATAGTCGTCTATCAATAATTTTCCGTCAATGTACGCTTTCAAGGTTAACACATGAGAGGATCCCAAATATTTTTATATTTTTTTTTAAAGAAAATTCAATATAAAGTCTTAAAAATATATATAAATAACTATATATTTATATATCGGTTTGGTTCGATTTTTTTTACTCAATATCAAACCAAGTTAAACCAAACCTAGTCGAGTTTTTTAATCGGTTTGATTTGATTTTTTCAATTTAATGCAATTTTCCGGTTCGGTTGAACGCCCATAATTTTAATTCAATCATCTCAAAGAACATACCCCAATTTTACCCGCTAAAGCAAAGAAGTGAAAGATTTAAATGAATATGGAGTATAAGAGAATTGAATCTAAAAAATATTAACTCTCGAAATATAATTGCGCATAAAAAAAGCTGAAAGTACGTTTCATTCATATCAATTCTACAAAGCAAACTCTACGATGAAAATTAGGAAACATCTACTCATAGACAGAGACTGATTTAGAATTTAAATTTAATAAATTCAAGTTTTAAGATTTTCAGCATTAAATTTATTATACTATTAAAATTATGGATATAATATTTGTCAAGATTAAATAAACTTTTACCTATAAATTTATACTTCGTGCGAAATTAGGGGTCCAGTTGAACCTGTAGCCTAAAGCTATATCCCCTGCTCATAGGTCTATCGTATATAATTGTATATAATAATTAATAGGAACCATTATGATTCGTGAAACAGCCAAATTAATGTGGATATATTCCCAAACTGTTCTTTTGAAAAAGAGTTTATTTATGTAATGATGATGTAAAAATATTTGTATATATTATTACTTGATAAGCATAAATAAGTAATCTGATATAGATGATAAGTAACTTGTAATCACAAGTAATATATAAAAAATCTAACTGTATCTAATTTAAAAAGAGTTTAACTTTCATAAGAATTCTTATTAACATCAGAGAAAGATAATCCTTCCCTATCTGTGATTATCTTTTTATAACTTTTTTTGGCAGCTTCCTTTATATCTATTTCTACCTACTCTCTTTCTACTTCCTTTATCTCTCTTTTGTTTTCTCTATTTTCATTTCACTCTTTGAGTTTCTTGAATATTCAATTATTTGGGCTTAGTATATTTATATCAAAAACACAACACAACATTTTCATATAGGTTAGAATCAATGGGAGAAGAAGCAATTCTTGTACTTTCTCCAGTATCTTCTAAGGAAACTCAAGAAAATGACAACAAAAATGAGCCAAAAGAGAAAGTTGAAGAAAATGCTCTTGCTCTCGTTCCATTTATAGAGGATAATAAACAGAAAATCTCTCCCTCTAAACCTCCTCCTCCTGCTCCAGAAAGTATATATTAGTATTCATTTTTTAAAATAGTTTTTCTTTGTTGTATTTTGTGTATATTTTTTGCTTACATATCTGAGATTTCTATTTTTTCTTTTATTGGTTTGTCACTGTATATTGTAGTTTTGAGGAGGAAAGGGAGCCTCGAAGCAACGATAAAGTTGTAACCTATAGGTCACTCGTTCGAACCGTAGAAACAACCATTAATATTGCATTAGAGTAGGTTATCTACATCACACCCTTAGGGTTGCGGCACCTCCTCGAATACTGCATAAATGCGGGATGTTGTGTTCATCGAACTGTCCTTTATTGTATTTTTTAGGACTATTTTTTGCCATTTTAATTTAAGGAGTGTTGATTGGTTAAAATCTTGGGTTTCTGACAGAGGCTGCAGATTCTGGGATTCAGAGAAGTACAGGGGGTTCCAAGGACAGAGGTAAATTTGTTTTTTTTTTATTTTTGTTTAATTTAGTTTTGTCTAATTAATTTGCCTTTATTATTATTATTATTATTATTCATTTATGATATATGGGGACTGGGGTACTTTTGAGAATCATTTTCCAAAATGAGAACATTTTGGAAACTGTCTTGATTAAGGGAATTATTATTAAGAATAAGCTTTTAGAAAAATGAAAAATAAGGTGGTGAAGTGAAACCTTGAAAGGTACCACTAATTGAAAAACTATAGTGTAAAGGACTTAATTTTGTAAAATTTTTAAAGGCTGTTCTCAAAATCTTTTAGTTTAATATTTCTATACCCCATTGAGTAACTTTCTTTATTTCACTATTGAAAGGATTGTTGATTTTTGTTATTTTTTGGGTATTTTTGGTTTTACAGATGCTGCCCTTGTAAAAGTTGAATCAGAGAAAAGATTGGCTTTGATCAAAGCATGGGAAGACAATGAAAAAGCAAAGGCCGATAACAAAGTACTATATGATTTTCCCCTCCTGACTTTTCCCACTCTATTCCTTTTTATTCATGTATTTATTTATTTATTTTCATTATGGCAATCAATATCAACAGAAAAAAAAAAAAACGAAAGAGAAAATAAGCGTACTTTTTTATTTGTTAGGTGAACACAAAATGAACTGAATGTGCCTTCAATAGTGTTACATCTAACTTTCTAGGAATTATTGGCATTCTGTACTTAGTCTATGGTCCTGCAATTTTATTTCATCTAGGTCATGGGAAAATTGTTTTAGGAAATAAAAATTGACACATAAATATGACAATATTCAATAAAATGCTTATTTAGAATAAAGGAGGACAATCCACAGGAATTTGCAACACCTATATATGTATGTATAATACTTTATCCCACTAGTGATACTATCCGCTTTGGGCATAGACAGCACCACTTTAAAATACGTCACTAGAGTCTTAAGTTTGTTTACTTATATTTCCAGCATCTTTTCCGTGTTTTGTCGATGCGAAATTCGCCTAGGCTGTCGCATTATGTATTTTCACTGTTTATCTGTTGATATCAATTTTTTCATGTAAGGTTTTTGTTTTGGATTGTTGATAATAGTCATGATTTTCAACAAATATCAGGCATTTAAAAAGTTATCTGCTGTTGGAGCTTGGGAGAACACTAAGAAGGCCACAATAGAATTTGAGCTGAAACAAATTGAGGTGAAATTTTGATTTACTTAGTACATATTATTTAACTGCTGTCACTTTTTGAGTTCTTTTTTTTTTTTTTACCCTGGTGTCATTTTTTACTGATCAAGCATGCAACTTCCTATTGTTTCCACCTTAATAGCGAAAAGAGTTGGGGGATAAGAATTACTTTTGCTAGTTCACTAATAAATGAAAAAAATTACTCTTGCTTGTTTAGTTCTAAGATCATACTTTTATGATTTCCTAGACTAATTTTCATGATTGTGGATGTATTTGAAAAAGGAAAATTCAAAAAGTTAGCCCGGTACATGAAGCATTTTTCGTTCACGCAGGGTTCAGGGAAGTGTCGCACCCCAAGGGGTGTGATGTAGACAATCTACCCTAACGCAAGTAGCTGGAAAGAAAAATTCAATTCTTTTAAATTCTTGTTAGGGCTGTCAAACTTGGCTCATGCCAAATGACCCACCCAACCCGCCTAAGGTTCGGCCGGTTATCGACCCATTCATTTATTAAAGTCAGTGCATTCTGACCCAATCCATCTTAACCCATTTAAAATTGGGCTGATTTTTAAGCAAATTGATCAATGAGTAACTTTGCCAAAATATCTTAGAAATAATTTTTTTTCGTGATATGTTATATATAACCATAACAAAAAGAAAAAGTCTTGTTTAGTAGTTATATAATCATAAGAAAATAATACATATTAATTAAAGTTGGTATGAGTTGGGTGCATTAGGCTATGACCCAAATTATAGGTATCTTAATCCAGCCATTAAGCTCAAGTAATTTTTGGGCAGGTAAAATGACCCGCTCTGACTCAACCCATTTTGACCCGCCCAAAATTGGCCCAACCCCCATTTGACACCCCTAAATAAATTCTTGTCCCTCTTACTTAACAGGAAGAATTAGAGAGGAAGAAGGCAGAATATGCAGAGAAAATGAAGAACAAGATGGCTGTAATTCACAGGGAAGCAGAAGAAAAGAGGACGCTGATCGAAGCAAATCGAGGTCAAGATTTTCTAAAAGTAGAGGAAACTGCTGCAAAATTTCGTGAAACTGGAATTCCCAAAAAGTTCTTGGGTTGCTTTGGCCGCTAAATTCTTTTATCAAATATCTCAAAAACAATCATATGCAGACACTGCATTCTGTCCCCTCCCCCCTATCCCCACCCTATTTGTTACCATGACGTTTCTAGTTTTATTTCTTTGAGTTGGTTGGGTATAATTGCTTAATGACTGATCCTTTTGTGTATAGAGCAAGTTCTTGTTTTATATTTTTGATAGAACAATCATGTGTTATGAACAAAAACTCAGAATTTTTGTTAAGTTGGTTCAATTTTTCATGTTCTTTTTTGTTTCTCACTTGCTTTGAGGTCGTGACTAATCCGGATTCATGCCATATAAAGGCAGTGGCAGATTTACGTTTTGAAGTAGGGGTGCTGAAGCACCCATTGGCTTTGGCCAAGTTGTATTATGTATTCATAGATAATACTTAAAATTTTAAATAATTGACCATGAGTATCCACTATGATCATGTTTGACCACTGTAAATTTACACTAAAATCAGTGAAGCAGCCACGCCTTATAAATTCTGGATTCGCCACTCCATAAAGAATATTAAAGGGGGACGAGCTCCCAATTAGGATTTTTTTTTTCTTTTCATTTTGAAGGCTCAAACCCAAGACACTAATTAAGGATGAAGGAATCATATCCATCCTATTCAAGTATGTGAACATTTACTTTGATTTCCGGTCAATATTAGTAATAACTTTCCTTTTCCATACCCTATTTCATTCCCTTTTATTGTCTTTTTATATATTCTTTAAAATGATCTATTTTTTTTAATTTTATCCAATTTCAATTTTTAGCTGCCAACTGAATTAACTACTTTTTCATTACGTGGCGTCAACGTTAGCATAATTTTTGCTTCTCCACTCGTTCTATGAGGTTGGTTCTAACTAGTTGAATGAAATAGATAACCATGTTACTAATATTTTTTGTTTGTTTTCTATTGTTATAACTTTGGGAAGTTAGAGATTCAAATCCTTGCTATAGACTTTTGAATGAAAAGGATTTCAAATCTCAATTTCCAGTTAAACTTGAAATAATAATAAAAAAGAAAATGGCATTTTCAGGAAGCCAGCAGAAATGTAAAGCTTGTGAAAAAACTGTTTATATTGCAGAGATGATTTCTACAAATGGTGTTGTTTATCATAATACATGCTTTAGGTGCAATCATTGCAATGGAAGGCTTGCAGTAAGTTTTTTTTTTTTTTTTTTTTTGTATAATCTCTTATGTATATTTTCATGTACTATAATGACAATTTTACCGTATACTTCTACCAAATTGAAATAATTTAAGCGATAATATCTTTTTTGATATCTCAAATAGATATAAAGATCAATAAAGAACGAGAAATGTAAATAATCCTAGCCTCCTCCGTCCCTCTTGGCTAACAAGGGGTAGTAGAGAAATATTTACTTGTTGTCTATTGATTATGCTTTTGACATGAATATATGAACTTAGGCCCAGACTCACCTTCCGTGGACGAACCCTGTGGAGGAAACCTTAGGTTAATCTAGAGGATATATCGATATATAGATCAATAAAGGACGAGAAATGTAAATAATCCTAGCCTCCTCCACCCCTCGGATCTAACAAGGGGTAATAGAGAAATACTTACTTGTTGTCTGTCGATTACGCCTTTGACATGTGAACTTATGAACTTAGGCCAGACTCATCTTCTGTGGACGAACCTTGTGGAGGTATCCTTATAGAGGCATTGGATTCTCACAAATGTTTACATCACACAAGCCAACATGCATGCATGGTGCTTTTGCTTTGTCCACCATTGCTCGCTCCGAGACTTCTCTTTAAGGCCGAATACGCCCCTATTGATGTAATTTTACATCCTATAGCTTCAACGGTCTGCTTAGTCCCGTTCATCTTTGGTGCAAGCGCGTATGATGAGCTAAAGAAAAAGGATATTTGACGTACTACCTTATCAAAGTGAAAAAATAACGCGATAATAATTTAGTTTTCTCAAAGGACGAGGAAAAAACATCATTTTTTTTGGGAAAATATACCGTGTACCTTTTATGTTGAATCGAATATTTTGCTATCTACATTTTTTAATGACATTTTTTACATAAAATTTAAGCTTCTTATAATATATTTATATTAATTTTTGGGATTACAGTTGAGCAATTATTCAACCCTTGATGGAGCTTTATATTGCAAGCCTCATTTTGAACAAATTCTCAAGGAGAAAGGAGGTGCCTCGTTGAAGCATTCTACATCATGTTAGTCGTTTTAATTAATGCATTTTAAAAAGGCCAACAATTTTTATTCATTAATTTCCTACCCTAATTATTTGTTTATTTTTCTCATTTCTTGAGCAGTGGGGAAGCTAAATGAACTGGTATGTATCGCCTATATTTACACGCGCTAAAAATATTACGTGTAGCATTAATATTGTGATTAGAGCAAATTCATCTCATATCAATACGAGATTAATATTTAATCGTATATCCAAGACCATGCGCTTTAAAATTTGTACATTATTCGGGCAAAATGAAAATTATTTGACAAATATTACTCATATTTCTCAATATTATCTTTATGACTAATCTTTGTTCCTTAATTAAATTAATCTTGTATATTACAGAACAGAAGCCCTAGCAAAGTTTCGGCTCTCTTTTCTGGTACTCAAGATAAATGTGCCGCATGTAAAAAGACTGTTTACCCCTTAGAAAAGGTTAGTACTTTTATTTTATTTTACCCCTGTTTCGAACTAATAAATGTCAATAAAATTTCAGTTCTTTTTATTTAAGAATCAAAGTTTGATATGTACACACAGGTTTATGCTAAATTAACAACACAATCCAAAAAAGATGCATGCTATATTTCTTAATTTACTATGTACGTAATTGCAAATCTCTATTTCAATTAGTTGATTAATTATTTTACAAGGAAATTAATCTTATATTTTTTTTCTCAAATATTTTTTGTTTCATCGAAAATGAGTTTTATATGACATAAAAGGAGATAGTGAAAGGATCTTAATTTTTATTTTGAAAAAGTAAAGATAAAAATCAAGTAGTAAAGATGGTGACTATGTTATATATTGTTAGGGCATACATTACCCTCAATTTGAACTCTATACATACAATTAATTAACTCAAAAAAAAAAAAAGGTACTAAGTTCCTACCTTTGTCCATACTCCATGGTAATAGTTGATGAAGTACGTAGTGTAGGGGTATCAAATGAGCGGATTGGACTGATTTTGTGGAAGTTAAAATGAGCTGAATTAATAAATGAGTGGGTCATTGATCCACCCAAAAATTACTTGGGGTGAGAATTGAGATAAACTGAATCAAGATGGGCCAAAATTTGGTCATACCCTAGCCCACGCAACTCTTATTAAGTTTAATAATCAAATGAGACTTTTTCTTTTGTTATAGTCATATATGACATATATCAAACAAAAATGAATCATGTTAAAGATATTTTAGCAAAGTTTCATGAATAAATTTAGGCTAAAAATCAGCCAACTTTAGATGGGCTGAGACGTGTTGAGTCAAGATGAACCGAGTTCAACAATGAACGGGTTAATGAGCGGCCCAATTTCGAGCGGGTTGGACGGATTTGGACTCAAATTTTCACTTCTATTATAGTGGCTCTGCAAAAACTAGCTTAAAATTCCGATTCCGCCTCTGACCAGTAATCCTTTTTGGTCAAATCAACCCATGCAGGTGACAGTAGATGGTGAAATGTACCACAAATTATGCTTCAAATGTGCACATGGAGGTTGCAAACTTACAACATCATCTTATGCTGCATTTGATGGACGTCTCTATTGCAAACCTCATTTCTCTCAATTATTCAAAGAAAAAGGTTCCTACAACCATCTCAGCAAAACTGCTTCAATGAAGAAAAATGAAAATGATCAAGAAGGCTCTAGTACTACTACTGCTGAAGAACCAATTAAACCAGAGGAGACACAAGATTAGTCATAATAGTACAATATACCTAGTTTGCAACATTTTAGCAATTGTCTAATTTCCTTTTTCTTCCCTCTCTAATTTCATCATATGTTTTTTTATTTAATTTGCGAATTGTCATCTATATTGTCGCCTTTTGTCTTTTTGTCTTCTTGGGCCGATGGTCTTTCGAAAACAGTATCTCTGTACTCCTTCGGATAGGGGTAAGGTCTGCGTACACACTATCCTCCCCAGACCCCACTAGTGGGATTTCACTAGGTTGTTGTTGTTGTTGTTGCGAATTGTCATTCACACTCCTTCTATGTGTTTTGGGAGAGCAACATAAAGTTGTTTCTATGCGACTTATGCGACTTCCCCATACCCTGCGTGAACGCGTAATACAATTTGTGCTCTGGACTGTTTTTTTTTACTCATTCTATGTATTTTCTTATAAATTTACTTAAACAACATGCATCTATATTTGCATCACTGATCAAAATGTAGCTATGTTGGAATGACCGAATAAACACGATGAGAGAGAATTATTGGTTGGTCACTAGTTGACATTGATGATAAAGAGGCAAATTCGGGATTTTTCAACCTTTAAAATTTTTAGGTTGAATTTACTGTATTTTGAAATTATGAACTCGAAATATATATTTGCTGAAATTTCAACCTAAGGCATATTGATTTTTATAAGTAGGATTGACCAAAGCCAATATTTCTTGACAATATTGAGAACTTAATTATAATGTCATAATAACAATGTATTATGTATGAGTTAATGGATTAGTGAATGCATGCCCAAAATAGAGTAAACACTAATTTTAGTGTCGTTAATAAGGTCTTAATTCTAATGATACATTTAAGCTAGTGTATAATGTACTTGAACGCAAAATATAGAAGAAATCACGAAAGAAGGAAAAACATATGACATCATACGCATTAAATCTAACAATCTAGACTAACTTGTCAAGACAATCCATTTTACAAGTTCCACATTACAAATATTCCCTAACAATAGATTACCTAATCAAATTGCTTGTTTTGTAAAGACAATGATAAGTATGAATCAAAGATCTATCTTTTCTTGTTTTTTTTTAACCAATATGAGTTGTGGTGGGATGGATAGGATCCCTCCACATTTAATTAGAGGAATCTTGTTCGAACTATGGGTATGAAAAAAATCATGTTAGGGAGCGCTTTCTCCTTAAATAGGTCTTACGCTACACGAATTCGGATATAGTCGAGCTCCAATGCAGGTGCCGGATATCGAGAGAAATTCAAAAATAGCCAGATTTACAAGTGGTCATTCAAAAATAGCCGTAGTTTCAAAAGTAATCAAAATTTAGCCAATTTTCATGTAAAGATAAATTTGAACAAAATGTTCAAAATTCGGAAAATACTCCAGCATAATATACTGGAGTTCCAGTATAATATACCGGTCCAGTATAATATACTGGAAGGTCATTCACAGGTGCTCCAATCTCCAGTATATTATGCTGGAACAGTCCCTGTTGCAGCAAAATAGTGGCAATTTTTCAATGACTTTGCAAATGCTGGCTATTTTTGAATGACCAATCTGAAAATTGGGTAGCCCGTGCTATTTTAACCCGAATATCGGTAGATAAGCCCAACCAAAAATAATAATCTTTTCTTGGTTTTGTTCCTTCAAATTTCGTTCTAAACACTACATGAGAAAATCACAATCTTTTAAGTTAGAGTAATAAACTATACGTTATTACAAATAATATAAGGACCATTAATCTAGCTTTACTCTTCAAACTTAGGAAAAATTAACTCTTCAAACTTAGCAACTCAAACTTATTTGTAGCTATAGGAAGAGAAATCAACTTTTTCAATTTAAAGTTTTACCTTTTATGAAAGTTTTTAACCTTGTGATGACAAACTGATAATCATAATTATTTCCAACAGTTTCACTTAATAATAACATCTTTTTTGCAAAAGTTCTTCTTAACCTCTCTTATTTCCAATCATTCATTTTCCTCGGACCCTTCATGAATGTAGAATATTTTATGCACCGAGCTGTTTTATAATATATATATATATATATATATATACACACCAAATGTCGTGTGATGTTCTTACTGTATTTTAATTTGGCCTATATGTGCAAAAAACATATTAAGTCCTATATATACAAAGAAATCAATTTTTTCGAATCTGTTGTATCTTCTAAATTTATAGACACAATTGTGACAAAGATAAGATTCCATATACATAATTAAGAACAATTACCTTTTGTCTGTCTATCACAGTCGTCAAACTTAGTTTTGACCACTTGACCAATAAATTGAAATTCACAGCTAAGTAAAATATTATTTGTAGGCTGCAATTTTTAAAAATTCTCAGCTAGCAAAGATCCAAACTTGTGAACTACTTCTTTCTTCTTTATTTCAGTTAGTTATCCATTGTTTCGTGTCGTGTAGTATTTTGTAGGAAGAACCAAAAGAAATCATGTGAGCTTATTTATTTCTTTCCCATTTTACCCTCATCTTCTTTGCCTTAACCCCCCAATATTGTCCTCTCTTTTTTTCAAAAAAACCAAACCCCTTTTCTTGTTTTTCCTGCTTTCTTGTAGTGCAAGTGCCACTTCTTTGGCATAAAGTTTCAATCTTTTCTTTGTCTTTTCATTTCCAAGAATTTCTGACACCCCAGTTTCTTGAGCTTTTGTTTTTCTCTTTGTCTTTTTACATATATATTGTGTCTATGTATTAATTTTCTGAGCTCCTGAAAGAGCATAAAGCTCAAAGATGAGTACATCAACCAGCATTTTTGTGATAAGATGGATTAATTTTCTCACTATGGTATAAACCCCATTTCCATATTTTATCTTTCTTTTCAGCTCCACCTGATTTTTCCTGTTCTGCTACCTTTTATCTATTTATTACTATCTCTGTGTATGTAAATTGGGTTAATTTTGCTCACAATGGTTTGAGTTAAGCTTAAATGGAGATGTGATGATTCATATAGCCGGCCCCAATTTGTTTGGGACTGAGGTGTAGCAGTAGTAGTAGTAGTTGTTGTTATGTGTAACTTGGGTTGTTTTTTTCCTTTTTCCATTCATTGACAAGAAAGGATGAACCCCTAAAATGGTTTTGGGTTTTGTTTATCTTCTTGTGGTTGGCAATTTTACTTAGGTGCTTATCAGTTTAATTGTTTCAATTTAGTCCAAATGCTGTTGCTGTTTGGTCAATGTGGTTGTATTAGCTTTTGGGTGTTAAGTGAGCTTGATTTATTTGCTGTTTGAGAAGAAAAAACCTATCTTTTACCCCCTTTTACACTAGTTCTGCAATTCTGAGGTAGAATGTATTTTCATTTTTTGTTGTTTTTTAAATTGAGGTTGTTATAGAGCTTAAATTAGAGCAGGAAAGTTTAATTTTTTAGTTTTATTTTGATGGTGTTAAGTGTTCTTATACCCCCATTTGGATCTTGGAAGTGCAGCTATTAGCTGTGGGCGTCGTAGGTTTTGGAATTTGGATGAGCGCTCATCATGATGGCTGTCGAAAGTCACTCACTCTGCCTGTTCTAGGTCTTGGAGGAGTTATATTCGTCGTGTAGGTTCCCCCGTTTTGTTCATTTGGTTTCCCCTTACCTTCTACCACCCAAGGCCTGTTTTATGTATATATTGTGATATTTTTTCTTCTTTTCATGTTTTTTCAGATCAATTGTTGGGTTTCTTGGAGCATGGAAGAACAACTCCATCTTGTTGTGGATTGTATCCTTACTGTATCAAATGTTCAAACGAAGAGAAATTGTGATTTCTTGCGATTGGCATAAAATTTTGGTTGCTTCTCCTTAACATTATATTTCAGTATCTAATCATGTTGTGCTTGATTTTGGTGGCAATATTGGTCTTCACCGTCTTGGCGTAAGTAATGCTACTTGGAATTTTATCAATACGTTGGTGCATTTTCTTCATTACTGATAGACTAGCCATTGCTTTTCCCCATTTCTCGCCTCTGTATTGCAATACCCAAGAACAATTAAATTATCATGATGCTGAGTTATGCAAATGTTCATTGACAAGTTTATGGTTTATCTATCAATGCATCTTACAGCTACGTTTATACTTTTTTGCATGGAAAATATTTAAGTTGAAGTTAAAAGGTATTGCGGAATATGTTATTCTAGTCATGGTCCTGCGAGATATTTTTGTTATTGCTATGTATAGTCCATCTTCATCGCGTATGAAAGTAACTAGTGTGTTTAGACATCCTGCTCGTTTTCTTTGCTGTATACTTTGCAAGTGACAAGGTTGTTACCAAACTTGGAAAATTGCTACCAAATATGAAACAAATACTAATCAGTTCTGTATTAAATTTTGTGTTATTGGCTTTACAGAATTGGTTTGTGACAGTCTCATACTTTCTAATTGATCTCAAAATACATAGAATAGAAAGAGACTTTTCTTCTAATGTCTTACTAGAATTATAAATTTTGGGATGTAATGTTTCTACCTTTTTGTGTTTATCTTTCCTAGAACTAGCTAGTTTCGCTCCTTATCTCCCTATTAGGTAATATTATGTAATAAGGGCCATGATTGTATAATGTTGACGGCTCTTTGGGCAGTCTATCAATAGCTATAGCAATGTAAGACATCGCCTCGGGGTTGGTCCCCTGACTGGAACCTAGAAAGAAAGCAAAAATTAATCATGAATATCCTTAACAAGTTGTTCTATAGGTTCGGTCGGTATGCGTGTCTGTTCCTGATCCATTGTCCCTGCTTGCCGTATGCTTAGATGTTGAGTATTTTGAAAAGGAAAATAAAGTTACTAAAAGGGCCCAACCGGGTTCGAACCGGTGACCTCTTGATCTGCAGTCAAATGCTCTACCACTGAGCTATGGACCCATCTTGTGGAGTACTACTTCGGATATACTAAAATGAGCTTTAAAAAGAGTCAAGTGGTGCATAGATTTTCTCAGATTTGGAAAGCCCTAGTACCGTCAGTCAAAGCCTTTTTCTTTTTGAGTTAAATGCACCAAGTAGCTATTAAGATCCATAAAGGAAAATACATGTAGGAAGGAACATATTACCTTACCTCCTCATAGTCTACATATGGAATGAACATGCTCACTCCTTTACATCTGAACCTTTATCTTTGTCGGAAGCAGTTTAATCTTAAACGCATAATCCTAAAATGGAGGATTCATCCTTCCTTCTTACAATGTTGAGGAAATAATTATATCTATTAAAGACCAAGTAAACCTTTACTTACCAAAAAAGAAAAAGATAACAACCAAGTAGGCTTACTCATATTACTTTTTTGGTCTTATCCTGAAGTACGGACATTGCATCATTTAGAACCTGAAGTGTCCTTTCCCGTCATGAACTTTCAGATAAATATGATTAGTTTCCAATTTGACAACCTTCTTAGCTTCTTTGTAGACATGTTCAGTTCTCCATGACATTGACCTCCTAAAATAGATTTCTGGCTTCTACTATAGCATCTTGCACTTGCCATGTGTCCATCAGTTCCTGCAATTTCTTTGACTTATTATAAAGATTCCATCTTTATATTAAAATATCCACAACTGAGTTTTCTTTGCAGTATTTTGGCCCAAAAAGCATTACCTGCACTTCTGCTTTTGTGCCTACTTCTGCCGATACAGAATAACCACCCCTTGTATATTCTTCCCTTCTGCTCTTATCACACCACCCTTTGTATATCCTTCCCCGTTTCTCGGCAGCTTCCATAAACTTTGTGGCTTTAATCTTGGGGGTTTCTCCCATCTGACCAATTCTACTGAAACTTTTGGTTAATATCTTCTGCTCATTTGAATAGGTTATTTTGGCTAATTCTTGGAAAAGGTACATGTTGAGTGGAGCCTAAAGAATTATCTATGTTTGGAAACTTACCTTCGGTTTTGATCCATTCTTTTCGTCTAGTTTCCTTATAATACTTGACTTTCCTAGCTCTCCAAATCTCCAACAAACTATAGATGGAATGACCTGTAACATTCATCTAAAGAATTTCTGTTCTTTGCAATGTTCGCACCTGCAGTGTTACAGAAGTAACTCCAAATCTTGCAAATTAGGCCACTATCTGAAAATAAGCAGAACTTCTCTTGTTTGATACCCCTACAGCAACACATCAAAACAATGATAGTCTCTTTCAGGCCTAATAGGAGCCTGGTGGCTGACAGAGTGGTACAGGATGATGTCTGTGCAGAGAGAGCCCCCCCCCCACCCCCCCCCCCCCCGGGGTTACGCTCTTGATTTAGACAACTGTTGTGTGCCAAAATTTACCTTCTTTGCTGAAGGAATATCTTATGAAAAAGAATAAAAATACAGTGAACTATGATAGCTCAGCTGAGGTTTTAGCAGGTGAAGTGGTAACATTAGGAGTAATGTTCATAGGACTGCTCAGATTTTTTTTCTAATAACCAAGTTCTAGCTTCAAAACTCAGTGGATAATGAACCCTCCCCTTAACCCTTCTCCAATTAAACACCAGGCTTGTTTCTTAGTAGGACGCAAGCTCGGGACGTGCGCCTAACACATATTCCCTACTGCACTAACCTTTGCTGTTGAACCAAAGCCCTCAGGGCTAGGTCTCCTGAGATTATACCGTCACCTTTCTGAGGTTCTGCATTATAACTGAGCAAGAAAATGCAGGAAGATGCGTTGGTCTTAATCACGCACTGACAAAAGCTAAACTAGCTAGTTAGCAAATATTTTAACTTCACATCTATTTCTTTCAGTCATTCCTTTCCATTCAAGTAAAATCTCTATATGCAAGAGTTTTGGCTTTGTTTTCAATGAATTTCGCTCCCGTATGGCCATTGATTTTGTCTTCATTTTTTCAAAAAAAAAATGAAAACATTGTTTGTTTATGAAATATGATCATGTTTTGGGGAAAAAAATTCAAATATTTCCAAGTTCCCAAAAACTTGGTTTAGGGTAGTTTTTGGGTGAAATTTTTTCTTCCACTCACAAAACTTCAACTTTTCTTCAAATAAAATGCATGTCCAAACACAACTTCAACTTTCAAAAATTATTTTTCAGCACAACTTCAAAAACTATTTTTTCAAGTTTCAATCAAATCTATGTCCAAACGCTAGTTTCATTTCTAATTTTCTCTTAATCTGTTCTGTCGTGAATATGGAACTCTAAGCTTGATTTCTCATATTTAATCTTTCATTAAGTGGCAACTACCATTGTGTTACGGTTAACTGGCTTAAGGTGGCAACCATGGTATCCTTTTGCATGCTGATGTCAGAAATGCCTGATACCTACATATTTGAGGTTACACTTATTGTTTTGCTTTGTCTCAGGTTCATTGTGACGAATAACGGCTCAGGTCATAGTGTTAATGGATTAAGGTATATTTCATGGAGCTCGCAAGAAATTCTAGTTCTTTATCTTTTTTATTTACGTCCTGTGCTATTATGAAAGTGTGTATCGTTAATGGTTTTCATCTGGCCAGGTACAAGGAGTATCAGCTTCAAGATTACAGTTTGTGGTTTCTAAAAGAAGTAAGCACCTGTTTATATGCAAAAATAAGAAACTGCTGGTGATAGAAAGGCATCATGTCAAATCATTATTGTGGTTATTTTAGATGCTTAACTTAGGTGTTTGCTCATATGTTTCAGCTGAATAACACCCATAACTGGAAGCACCTGAAAAGTTGTCTAGTCAAGACGGACGACTGTAGTAATCTATCAAGAAGATACAAGGTCTTTTTTCCGACTTAATTAAGAACCTAATCATGATCTATAAATTTTGAAATCATATTAATGCCTCCGCTACATTGCTGCAGACTCTCAAGCAATATAAGTTAGCAAAACTAACACCTATTGAAGCTGGTTGCTGCAGACCACCCTCTGAGTAAGTTACCCTTTTTTTCCTTTTCTTTCTTTTGCGAGCTATTTTGTTTTAGACTACTTTAAATATACATGCGAGGAAAACATTCATGTCTGGGAGTTATTTTATACAGAAGCTTATATTGCGAATCAGTAGTTACAGAAGAGGAAAATGTTCTGTGGATATATTTTTCCAGTTTTAGAATGATTCTGATATTTTTCCAGTGGCTTGAAAAATCTTGATTAATATGCCCAATATTTATGCAACTTGCGCGCTTCAGATATATTCTCTATGTCTGTTGCTTCACCAACCTCTATCCCTTCCGCTCCACTTGTAGGTGTGGTTACCCTGCTGTTAATGCATCGCACTATGACTTGAGCTTTCATCCGACGAGTTCCAACAAGGACTGCAAGCTTTACAAAAACTCAAAGAATGTCAAGTGCTATAACTGTGATTCCTGCAAGTAAGGATCGCCTTCTGATCTAGTCATTCTTCCGTTCATGTAAGGTTGGTTATTATGCAGCTCATGGCGTTTCTCCTACAATATTCTCAGGGCTGGAGTCGCACAATACATGAAAACTGAATGGAGAGTGGTTGCTATCTTCAATGTGATTCTCTTTGTCGTCTTGGTAAGTCACTCCTTCAATTAAGATGTCAAAAAATGCCCATATTGATTCCTGTTTCGTGTTGGAAAATTACGACTATATACATGATATGGCATTTGTGGTTTCTTACTTCCACTCATTCTCGTCATCTGCTGATTCTTACTTGTATCAGTCGATAATCTACTTCGTGGGATGCTGTGCAAGACGAAATGCTGCTAAGAGCCGCTCTAAAATTTGAATCCTACAACTGTAAAATCCAGATGAGTTGATTGCCCTCGCGCGTAATGCATGAATGTACAAGTTTTCTTCAGCTAATGATGTGCCGCAACAATAGTTCGTGTTCTTCAGCTATTTGTTGACAAACTCTGTAAAGCTTTATTCGAACGAAATGATTCATGTAATATAAAACGCTTCTGATGTTTATGCTAAATCATTCTTCTATAGTTCTATTACATCTAAAACATGCATTCAAATACTCCCTCCGTGTTCACTTTTACTTGTCCACTATTCTAAATAAAGATTTTCACTTTTACTTGTTCATTTTCGCATATCAAGAGAAAAATAATTTATTTTTTCTGCTTTGGCCTTAGCATTAATTACTCATTCCAAAAATGCCAAATCCATTAAGGCTATACACCAATTAATATGGGTATCATAGTAAATTATATGCTTTATTTATTATTTCTTAAGAGGCGTGCAAAGTCAATAATGGACAAGTAAAAGTGAACGAGGGAGTACTATCCAATACCGCACCAAAAAAAAAAAATAGAAAAAAGCTACATAGTTGTAGTGGATTAGTTTATGGTGGGAGCAAATGATTCATACAGGCGATATCAACTAGTTGAAATTAAAGCTCATTAATTATTGCTTATATATTAGACTTGTGGTAAAATCATTAGAGAATCTTCAATTTTAGAGTATTCTTAATTTGTCTTAATAACAAATGTAAGTTACAACTTACAAGTGTTGAAATAATATGTATCCAAATAAGAAACGGAAAATATATTTAGCCAAACTAAGAATGACCCAAATGTCCAGAATGGGGGTATTATGGTAACTTCGCACGGCTTTTGAGGGCATAATGGATATTTAAGCATTTTCGTTTTCCAGATATACCCTTTAGCAGATTTGTTTTTTAATTTAATTTTTTCCCTCCAATTCTCTCTCATTAGTTTAATTGTCTTACCTTCCCTATGCTTCTTTCACATTTACACATGCATGCTACACTACTTTTCATAAAGCAATTTATACTCATATACATATACTATACCAATTAAACGAAATAAACTAAAATATACACATAGTATGCTAAAAAAATACGATTAAACTATTGTATTATAGTTTCTATATTACTATATCACTAAAATAATATTTTATTACTTTCTAACCCTAACACTTAAATATATAGTGCTTCAACTAAGAAGCCACTACAACAAGTGTGATTTTCAACCACGAAAATATTAGCTACAACAGAAAATTTGTCACTAATTATCCATTTTTTGTGACTAAAATTATATTTCGTGCTTAAATACATGAGGCACATACTTTTAGTGACAAAACATAAATTTTATAGCAAAATTTGTCTACTAAAGTTTCCCACAAAAAAATGAATTGGCGCCAAATATTAATTAATATTAGCCACAAAATTAATATTATTGGTGATAAATTAGTTTCGTCACTAATGTTGTAGACAATTGGTGACAAATAATTGTTCGTCTTATAATTAGTTATATTTTCGCTACAAAATAGTTTCCTCACTAAAAGTTTTATATTTTTTGCAACCTTAGTTTTTGTCACTAATAGCATAAACAAATTAGTGACGATCGGTGTATCATCTCTATTTTACCTATGAAATTATTAGGTAGCATATAAAGTTCATCACTGTTATTATCTTTTTGGAACAAAAATTAGAGTCGTACTTAAATGCACACGCACATACATTTAGTAAAGAAATAAAAATTTCGTAGTGATAGTTTTATCTACTCAAGTTTTCCACCAAAAAAATGGATTGTCGCTAGTTATTTAGTAACATTAGTCACAATATCTAAAGTTACTGGTGACAAACTAGTTTCATCTCTAATATTGTAGGCAACTAGTGAAAATTATTATTTGTCTAAAATTAGTTATATTTTAGCGGTGAAAAAGCGTGGTGACTAAGAGGGTGTTTGGCTAAGCTTATAAGCTGGTCCACTTCCCACTAGGACTTAAAGTCTCTTTGTAGAGTCCCTATGCAACCATTACACTTCCCAGTAGCCATATCTGCTCCTCCATGCGGACATTACACATCCAAGCAGCCCTTTCCACTCCTCCATGCATCTATTACACTTCCCAGTAGTCCCTTCCACTCCTTCATGCAACCATTACACTTCCCAGTAGTCAATTTCACTCCTCCATGCAACCATTACTCTCCTCCATGACTACAATTAATTGTAGAAGCTTGTCTTTATCCATCCGCCTATACAGATTTTGATTTTTTTTTTTTAACTTCTGCCATATAGTGGCAGTGCACTTCACATATTTTGGATTTTTTTTAAAAATTTTTTTTATACTTCTACCATATAGTGAGAGTGCACTTCATAGGTTTTATCTCATAGTCTTAACCTTCATCTTGGTGGTTGTATTCTATTTAATAACGGATCGGTATCCAAAATTTTGTAGTGGTAAATACAATTTTTGATTTTTCGTGTTGATTTTTCCATTTCTCTATGAGCAAAGTAATGTCGATTTTTAAACTTTAAAAAAAATAATCTTTCAAGTTTTGTTCTTGGTTGTAAAATGATAGAAAAGAATAGGGGGACTTCTGCACTAAATATATTGTTAAATGATTTCTCAATTTTAATTGGCTATTTTTAAACCAATAGTCTTCTTAAAATAAATAAATATAACAATAATAAATGGAAAAAACACAAACAATATTATAAGAACAATCATATTAATCCATTACTTTGATCCACTTGAAGTTAGTAAATATAACTAACGAGAAGAAATTATCAAGCTAAACATTAGTTTATCCTAGCACTTCAACAGAGAAGATCACAGCCCCTGATGTAGCCTGAGCTAGTTCCAAGAGAAGAACACCCCCTTTCTTCAGATTATTGTCGACAACAAATTATTTCCACCATTAACGAGTCTTCTCCGAAAACCACTTGTGGAAGTCACAGCCCATTCCTTCCCGTTATATCGAAGCATTGTTTTAACCGAAATAGGAGGAAGATAGCCAAAGATACTCTTTGGAAGAAACTGCAAGAACATAATGTAAAGATAAGGTTCATGCTTCATTGCTAGTTGGGATAATCAACAGTTATCAAAATCATGAAAATATTATAAAAAAATTACCACGTAATCACGCTTGATGTACGAACTGGGAACGTCCAACCGAAACTATGGATAGAATTCATCTTCAATCCATCCTCTAGCATTCATGTTTAGAGTATCTATTTTGTTTAAAAAGTTGGAAATGTCGTTCTTGTGTTTAAGAGATATATAAAGACTCAAAACTTTCTATTTCCCTCCAATCATATTTTTACTTTTTCCTTTGTTCCCTCCGAAAAATGTATTTGACATTTTAGTCCAAAAATATCATCTTGTTTTCCCTCCTAATAAAGTTCTAAATTTAATCATGATTTTCCTTTTATTATAATTAAGATATTTGGTGAAGATTATTACAATTAAGACTAACCAATAAAAATATGCCGAATTATATATTTACTATTATATAAACAAGGTCATACTAGTGAATAGACTTATATGGTTGCTATAGGCAGATATATATGTATGAAATTAATATAAACGGCTATTATATAAACAACCGATATTACTAAGAATCACAACGATATAATTACCATAGGTTATATGACTTCAACCATATTAGTCACTGAATTTATATGGTTGCTATAGGCCGATACGTATGACCACAATGAATGAAATTATATAAACTATAACCATATTAGTCAATGGACTTATATGGTTGCTATAGGCCGATATGTATGAAATTAATATAAACGGCTATTATATAAACGGTCGATATTACTAAGAATCACAACGATATAATTAGCATAGGTTATACGACTCCAACTATATTAGTGAATGGACTTATATNATTATTCTTTACCATCATTTTTTTTCTTTCAATAACAAACTGATTAAACTAACAGAGGTCCCCGAAGCTAAAAGAAACTCAAACAGATCCTGGTAGATACTAAATCAACAATCTATTGAACAGGATTCAACTTTAATAATCCACTCAACCAAATCAGAGAATCAAACGAATTTGTCCCCAACTCAAACAAAATAAGAGACCAAAAAAGTTTCTGATAAGGAAAGATCCAACAGACAATATCAAGTCACTAATCGATCACCACATTGAGTCAAAATTAAAGATGCAAGCTTCTCACACAGGCAGCCTCCAAGAAAAATACCACAGAATTAAAGAAATCGAATAACCAATAAACCAAACTCAAACCTGACCAAACAAAGTGAGAATACGATCTGGTCTGAGGTTGTTCTTTGCCAAAATGTGGTTCTATGATCAGAGAACCACCACAAGTCAATTGGAGATGTCAAAAAAACCTCAGATTAGCTTCTGGCCAAGGAATTTCCGGCAGCAGATTCGACTCAACTCCGGCGAGCAGTAGACCTGCTGTGATACCATGTAAAGTATAGAGACAATAGAGAAATCTCTCTTGTATTGTATTCAAGAAATAACAAGTATATATACACATAGAGCCTTAACTATGGAAAGAATCAAAAAGGAAATCCTATAAATCTGCTGTGAATCCCTATAATTATGCTAGCTATGTATATTACATAAGATTATGTCTACATTCAGATTATATCTACATTCATTATCTAACATTTAGGTTGTTCAGCAGATGATAGTCTACATGCAACAAGATTATTGTTCTCAAATTTTGCCTGAAATATCTAATTTGACGGCAAATGAACCATTCGGACATAGTGAAAAGGCAGCCGGGTACACAAGGCATCTCGCGTTCACGCAAGGTCCGGGGAAGGGCCGCACCTCAAGAGTGTAATCCAGACAGCTTACCCTAATACAAACATTTGCACAGAGTGAATTTGGTTTAATAAATAAGAGAGGTAGTTCCGATAAGATGATTTGGGATTCACAAATTCATAATGCTGTAAATTTTGAGTGAAAAAAAGGTTTCTCCTTCTTCCAAATTTAGCCTGTTATGTTCATGGCACCTAAGAAAGGCCATCCGTCAATTCTGTTTAACCAAAAAAATAGAATTTCGGTTAAAACTAGAAATTAAGAGGAAAAATCGGGTTACTGATAATCAGGAGACGAAAAGAATAAGAAATTTTTGAGGATAATAAAGCAGTAAATAAGTTTGTATTTCAATGTAATCTCAATGATATTTCGTGTGTTTACAAATGCTGAGACCTCCTCCTTTTATAGTTGATTTTTCTAGGAAAAGGTATAATGCCTTAGTCTTAAATAGGCAATTATGAGCATTAAATGACATTAAATGAAACGTTACACAATCATTCCTATTCAATACTGATTCGCTAACGTATTTGACATTCAATACTGAATTTAGACTCCTTTATGCCATCAGATTCATATCTTCAATTCCTTCTGACCTCCTGGCTTTAATTAAGTTAAATAGATACGAGACTCGTATCATTTGAATAGCATCTCGTGCCTATTTAACTTTCTTCTCCTCGTATCTGATATTGCCCGTGCCTCTTAACTGATCATCATATTTTGACCATTTGACCAGTCCACGTGTCATGCCACGTCACCTTCAATTATAAATTCAGTTCTTTTCCAATATAGATAGTCCCCCCACTTTCCATTTATTTATCAATTAAATATTTGGGAAGTGGATCTTCATTAAAAAGGGAATTTTTTGCCATAATCAATGCTATGACAGTGTCGACGCTTCAATTGTCTCTTCTATTTAATGCACCATATACATGTCACATTTCCATTAGTTCTGCGATTTTGCAGCCTTTTTCTAAGGCTTCTTTAACTCCACTATTCACGAAGTGATAGTTGCCTTTATTATAGGCTTTCTATCATTACACTTCTTAATTATCGACGGTTGAGTTTATATATAAATTTGCCCCCTTTTTCCTTTGTCTTCTTCTTCACTAAGCNTTAGTGAATGGACTTATATGGTTGCTATAGGCCGATATGTATGAAATTAAGATAAACGGCTATTATATAAGCGGTCGATATTACTAAGAATCACAACGATATAATTATCATAGGTTATATGACTTCAACCATATTAGTCAGTGGACTTATATGGTTGCTATAGGCCGATACGTATGACCATAATGTATGAAATTAATATAACCGGCTATTATATAAACGGTCGATATTATTATGAATCACAACTATATAATTAGCATAGGTTATATGACTACAACCATATTAGTCAATGGACTTATATGGTTGCTATAGGCCGATACGTATGACCTTAATGAATGAAATTATATAGACGACTATTATACAAGCGACCGATATTACTATGAATCACAACGATATAATTAGCATAGATTATATGACTACAACCATATTAGTCAATGGACTTATATGATTTCTATAGGCCGATACGAATGACCTTAATGAATGAAATTAATATAACCGGCTATTATACAAGCGGTCGATATTACTATGAATCAAACGATATAATTAGCATATGTTATATGACTATAACCATATTAGTCAATGGACTTATATGGTAGCTATAGGTCGATACGAATGACCTTATTATAAACGACTATTATATAAACTGCTATTTGACAACTACCTCATCAACGTGCTATATCATTTTTGTATCTTTTTTTAGTTTTCTCTTCAAAGAATATGCATTATTCTTTGAATATTCGTAAAAATATTGTCCAAGTATTCTTCAATGTATTTTTGTATCTTAAAAATATTCGTAAAAATTTTTATGTATCTTTTTTTAGCTTTCTGTTCAAAGAATATGCATTATTCTTTGAATATTCGTAAAAATATGTTACAAACATTATTCTTCAATGTATATTTTATTTTCCATGTTTAATGGCTCCAAACTAGTTTCTAGGTTAGCATTCATGTTTAGGTTAGGGGGAAGGGTGGTGATATATGCGTTTAATGAAGGCTTTCTTAACATAAGTGTATGGTATAAGTTTGTATACCGTATAAAAAATAATATTATGTATAGATACTAGACTTTTGATCTTCCCATCGTATAAATTGTATTTGAAAAAAAATACGTAATAGTATAGGTATACATATACGAAGGCTTTTGATCTTCCTATCCGTATAAATTTTATTTAAAAATAAAATAAATACGTAATAGTATACGTATACATATGAAGTTGGTTGATCTTCCCATGAGAGAATGATGATTTATGAGACCAATGTTTTGGGATAATCAATATTTATTAACTAATGTTGGAGGGAAATATTTTGGAGGGAAAAATGGCCATTAAGCCAAATGTGAAATGAAGGGCATTAGTGGTATTTCACCAGTGTGATCATTTTTGGGCCACACTGAGTTTGGCTGAATAGCAGCTCTCAATAAGAAAATGAATATAAAATATTTGCATAAAGTTGTCAAAAATAGTTTGAAATTGAGATAGTACTAAAATTGGGAGAAATTCAAAAATAGCCAGATTTACCACTGGTCGTTGAAAAACAGCCAAGTTTCAAAAGTCATCGAAATTTAGCCACTTTAAATCTGAGCGAAAACACTGTTCAAAATCCGGAAAAATACGCCCGCAAATTTTACGGGAGTTCCAGCATAAGTATGCTTGAACTCCCGAGGATAACTATGCTGGAACTCCCGCAAATTTTACGGGAGTTCAAGCATAATTATGCTGGAACTCCCGCAAATTTTACAGGAATTCCAGCAAGTATAATTGTCCAGTATAATATACTGGAGTTTGGAGCACTGGTGCTCCAGTCTCCCGCAAATTTTACAGGAGTTAGCAAAGTATATCGGTCCAGCATAATATGCTGGAGCTCGTACACAAATGCACCAGAACTCCCGTATATTATACTGGACCGGTCCCTGTTGCAGCAAAATAGTGGCTATTTTTCATTGACTTGATAAACTCTGGCTATTTTTCATTGACCAGTGTGAAACTTGGCTATACCATGATATTTTAACACTAAAATTTTATTGATTTGAAAAATTACAGGGCCCATAAATTCCTGTCCTGATGTTGATCCCCAAAAGTTGGAATATTGGCATTTTGGTCTCCAAAAAGTTCTCAATTAATCTTAGCCGTCAAAAAGCGCGGGAAACTAAAATCAAAGACCAAAAAGCTGGCGTCCACAAGAAGCTGAACAAGTCATAAATAAGTCAAATCCAATCCACAAATCCCCAATCGCAGAAACCCTAAAACACCCAAAGAGGAGAAAGAAAACCTCTGATTTTCAATGGCACCTAAGAAAAGGCCAAATATGGAGCAGCCCACGACCCGTGTAACTCGAAAGTCAACTCGCAGTGTCAACCCCAAGCCCAACTACGCTGACCCAGAACCACCCAAGCCAAAACGGGCCAAAAAGTCCACCCCGAAATCCGAGCCCAAACCCGAAGTCAAGGCTGCTGTTGACTCTGCTTCAAAGGGTGTTGTGATTGAGCACTGTACACAGTGCAACCAGTTCAAGATCAGGGCTGTGAAGGTGAAAGAAGGGTTGGAAAATGGAGTACCCGGTTTGGAAGTTCGGGTCAACCCGGAAAAGCCGAGAAGGGGTTGCTTTGAAATAAGGGAGGTTGGTGAAAATGGGGAGAAATTTGTTAGCCTTTTGGATATGAAGAGGCCATTTGGCCCAATGAAGGCATTGGACATGGACAAGGTCATTTCTGATATTATTGAAAAAATCAAATGATTAAAAAAAAATTCAAATGATCATTTTCTTTTTGGGGATTTAGGGTTTGTTATGATCATTTTGAGCAGGTTTTTGGGGATTTAGGGTTGTTATGATCTTGTATTAGGGGTTTTTGGATTAAGGGTGCAGTTTTGTGTTTTGTTTACGCTAAGTGCTTGATATTTTTCTTTAATCTATTGTAGCCCCTTAGATTTTGGAAAAACGGGAAAAAGAATAGGCATATTGTGATACCCATCCCCCACCCCCCACCCCCCACCCCCTATTAAAATTTTTAAGATTATCTGGTTGGTATTCCGTTTTATGCATATATATTTGTCGAATTGCAGACTTGTTATGTGATTGGATTATGACGTCAAACATCTATAAAAAAATAAAAAATAAAAAGTTAAAACCAACAAATTGTAAAGGATCAGTCACATTAATATTTTTCAAAATATATTAAATGCAGATTTGAATCTTAAATGTTATATTTTGTAATAGTTTGTTGATAATCGATGATATATTTTGCTTGAAATTAAGCTAGTGTTTGGCTATAGATTTCCAAATTTGTTTTGAGAAATTTGATTTGGTTGAAGTTTGGTTTGAAGATGAAAAATGTGTATTGGCTATTAGTTTTCAAAAATATATTTCACTTTTTTTATAAAAAAAATAAAAAAAAATGACTTGTACTCACAAGTTCTAAAAATTATCACAAATACTCAACAATACCTTCATCAATACATTTATTCTATTATCGCAAAATTTGGTACAAAATTATCATTTTTATAATGAACGACGAAACAACATTGTTACAAAATAATAAATGTGGGCTCTTTCATAAATTATAAAAGTTTGGGGTAATTTTTAAAAAATGTAATAGTAATATTTTGGGCCAAAATTTGGGATTTTTACTTTCCTATACTATATATGAAACTTTATTACACTCACTAATCTAGTTTTAATTTAATTTCATATACAATTTACCAATTATATACAAATTAATTTTTAATGAGTATCACTTTATATTAGCCTCAATGCGCGCGTGCTCTCTCTCCGTCTCTCTCTCTTTCTCTCCTTTGTTCTTTCACCAATTTTCTTCATTCATTTTTCACTGCTTTTCATCCTCTCTTTTTTCCAGGAAATTCATCAATGCATTTCAGTTGTTATAATATAGAGTTTTAACTTAGCAATTTTTTCATATTGCACAGTTGGTGTTAGGATTGAAATTGTCAATCAATAAATTTTGAAGGTATTTGATTCTCCATCATTAACAGCCATTAAAAAGTTCCGAAACTTTGAATTCAAATTTGGGTTTGCAAAAACTATTGTTTGTTTGGATTGAGTATTGTTGCAAACTATTGGAAATATTCTTTGGAGTTATATCTCAATTTTGAGGGTGTTTAATGAAGATTAGACTTGATTTTAGCTGAATTTCAGATTGAAACCCGAAGAAGAAGAACACATGACATACAATAGTTACGAATTTGTATTAAAGTTGTATTATAGTTGTATGTAATTCGTATTTAAATTATATTCTGTTGTAGTTATATATATTTTTTTATGAGAAATGTTATGTGAAAGTTGAAAAATAGTTGTATAATATATGAATCATTGTGTGAAATTTGTATTCAAGTTATAAATACTATCTTTTTAAATAAAGTTGTTTATATGTATCAAAATTGTATTAAAAGAGAAAGTTTTGATTGGAATTTTAGAGAGGAAGAATAACACACCACATACAAAATATATACAAAAAAAAATTGCATAAAATTTGTATGAAAATAGTATTTAAATTGTATAATATTGTAGTTATATTTAACTGGGTAAGAATTATGAATGAAAGTTGTAAATAAGTTGTATACCGTATAATTAGTTGTTCTTCTCTCCCGGACATTTTTACTTTCTCTAAAATCTGTATATGAACATCATTAGTCCAAAGTGAAAAAAAGAAATAAATTCATGAACTCAAAATGGATTCAAAATTAGCAAAGATTATCTTGAATTAACAAATATTGAGTAGTCAAGGCATATGTATTTTGACATTACTGTAAGGCCTCTTGTTTAAAAGACATGAAGAATAGCCTGTTTGGCCAAGTTTCTCAGGAGGCCAAAAGTGCTTTTTTTCCCAAAAATACTTTTTTTCCCTAACTTGAGGTGTTTGGCCAAGCTTTTTTGAGGAAAAAAAGTATTTTTGGGAAAAAGCAGAAGCAGTTTCTGAGAAGCAGAAAAAAGTAGCTTCTTCCCAAAAGCAGAAGCAGAAGCAGTTTTGACTTTTCTTCTTACCAAAAATGTCCTTAACAAAATATAGTATATATCAAAATAACCGTTAAACCTAATACTTAGGATATTAATGTATAAATATTTCTTCTTATTTTTAGGATAGCTTTCTAATATATAGTGACTTTAGCGGTGAATGCTTTTATATTTGTTGAATGATTTTTAATATATTTAACTTATATTAAAAGAATTAAATACTTTTTAATTTTATTTTCATATTTTACTTAAATAAAATGAAAAGATTTAATTATTGCATGTAATAACAAATTTTTGAGATTATTTATTTACTTATAATATTAACTATAAAGTAAATCTATTCATATCCTTATTCATAATTTGATACTTAAAAGCACTTTCTGAAAAGCTTGGCCAAACACAAATTATTGCTCAAAAGTGCTTTTCAGAGTAATTAGCCAAACACAAACTGCTTTTCTCCAAAAGTACTTTTGTCAAAAGCACTTTTAGAAAAAACACTTATCAAAATAAGCTGATTTCTCCAGCTTCGCCAACCAGGCTAGTAGTCAGGTGATATGTAAAATATTTATGTGAATATTTGATGTAATCTTGTGCAAGACAAGTCGACAATTGACGGCACAACAAAGCTTTTTACCAAGTGGCATCATGATTTTTGCTTTCAAGAAGATACAAAGTATCCCATTAAATTTCTGTAACTGAATCCCATAATTTAAGGCATTAATAATGGATTGTACATGGAGAGAGGCGGCTGAGAATAGGGAAAGAGGAGAGGAGAGATAAAAGGAGAATGGTGTAACTGAATCCCTAATTTAAGGCACTAATAATGAAATATATATAAATTGTAAACAATCCTTGTTTAGAGCGTGTAGTACAAAACTAAGATAATTTTGGTAAATAAGTTTCAGATATTGTATAGGAACAAAAAATTCCTTTGGGATTTGGGTTTTGGGAATTTGCCAAAAATGAAAAATTTATGAACATGTATTTGCCAAAAATAAAACAAGTATATTTTGGGAAAATTTATGGCCAAACAGGTCCTAAGTGAATTGCAAAGTGAAACAACAATTTGTCAAATCACATTTTTGGAGATTTTATTCTGGTTGGATCTTACTTTTGATCATTCTGTATTAAAGTCATTATTCCAAATATTCAGCTAATATTTTCTCTATAGAGGAAATAGGCCTTCATGGCTTTTTAGTGTTGAAATTAAAAAAAATATTTTTTTTAGATCTCTTATATGTAAATGATTGATTTCTTATGTGTAAAAACAAACTTCTCATGTGTAAAAACAGAAACGGAGTCTTAAAACTAAAAATAAAAAACTATTGGATCACAAACTTAGCGGATGCAGACATAAGGGTTAATCTTTACTGAACTTTATCCATGGGTTAATCTTACTAAACTTTATCCATTTCAAAAATAAAGTAATTTAACTTTACCACTAAAAATAAAGTCACTAAACATTACTCACTATAACATAGAGTTACAAAACTCTGTTTGACACATTAAAGTAACTGAACATAATCGTAAATCTAACTTTAATTAGTAAAGCAAATAATAGAATCAGAAATAGTAAGTATTATTGAGTAAGTAAGTTTTTTTTTTTTTTTGAATTGATAAGTAATAATATCACCAAACAATTTCAATGATTGATTCCAAGTTGTCCACTCACACATGCTCCAAGACAATCCATGTGGAGCATCTCGTATAATACCAAAATTATGTGAGAATTTAAGCAAAAATAATGTTACTTATTCTGTGAAAATAATCTAACTTCGTATTACATCTCTACAGAAGCAATCATTTAATTGGTTCTGTACTCTCCAATCTTTTCCATACCTACCATATGGGTATTTTCAAAATTGTCAAGAACATCATCTTTCTTTGAGTCGAGGGTATACCGGAAATAGCCTCTCTACCTTATCAAGGTAGAGGTACAATCTGCATACACACTACCTTGCCCAGACCCCCCACTTGTGTAATTCCGAATTCCACTGGGTATGTTGTTGTTGTAGTATCACATCTCTACAGAACTTTCAAGAGAAAAATAAGTCTAGAATACTTGTCTAATGTTGATATTGATTCTAGAAGTCCTAATGTACTCCAAGAAAGCAGAGTCATCTTCATCAGAAAACTGCAATTCAAGGGAGGATATATCGGCGTGTTCTTTATCAGTGAAGATCCTAGGGACACCATGGAAGCATTCCCTTGCTTGACCTGCCATAAGAATAACATCACCACTTCGAACAAACATTGCAACTGGCGGAACGTCCCTAGACTTTCCCCCGATAAGGAAAATACCTTTACAGCACAAACTCATGCTAACAATAGGTTTACTCCAATCCTTCTCCATGTCATCAACGTGGCCACCAAGCGTGTCGCCTAGCCCAAAGTAATTAACAATTGCTGCTTCTGCCTGAAACACTTCACCCGATGGCAGGGCAGCTGCTGCCATTCTTTCAGCCAGCAGGCAAAGTGCATCAGGTATCTTGTTGTGAGGCAGAGAAATATTATAGTTCCTCTTCGACCAGACAAACTGCAAGCCAAGAGTGCTCCACCGTAACTTACGAAGCAAAACGGAGGCTGGCACTAATTTGCTTGTAGCTCCTCTGGATAATGCACCTGATTGATCAAGAAAATTCCACTTGGGAATGTTTATGTCGTTCTGGATGATTTCCACCTCAGAAATATTGGTCCCACGGTACTTATCTTCTTGAATCAAAGCTTTATTATCCTTGGCAGCAGCAAATAAGTCCTGTAGAGGACCATAAATTGCATTATGGTTGGTCCTGTTTGGAGGTTGAGGAAAACTTGTTAAACTCTCCTTTATCCATCGGCACTGCTCCTCAACAGTTAATGCTCCAGGAATGAAATAAAACCCTGGATGACTCTCCAAGCAGAAGACAACACTATCAAAATCGCATTGAATTGCGAAAATGCCTGAAGGAAGTTCACCATTTTGTCGGTAAGACTCTGAAATTGACTTAAAATCAATTACCTCCGACAAATCCACTGGTCGTGGTTGCTTTTTCCTGAGTTTAACAACATAATAATGTCCCATTAAAGTAAATCAACTGTTGTATTTGCTGAAGGGGAAGAAAAATACAAGAGAATGAAAAAATTCTTGTTAAAAATTATCGAACTTTAAAAGCTTACTTTCGGGTATTGTCGTAATACAGCTTGTAATTCTTTTCAGCCTTTCTAAAAGCGGTTCGCTCTTCATCGTCGGTGCTAGGGTTGGAACCGTACATCTTCCACAGCTCCAAAAAAACTTTTTATAAATCTTTGAATTAGGATTTCTGGAGACTTGGGGTAAGAAACCCTCTTGAGTCTTGACTGAAGGAGACAGCGTAATAAATTATAATGTAATAAATGTATCACATAAATATAATGTAATAAGTTATTTATGCATCTATGACTCAAAATATTACATGTTCTCCAGATTGCAAATTATAATTTTCTCATGTTAGAAGCTTTTATGATCACTAGTCTTACTGTACGTGTACCCCATCTCAATGAGTAAACTTTTTATAAATGTATCACATAAATATTATATTACAAATTTTGTTTGCACTACCAGAAAATCACCGTTATCCGACTACCGAATCAGCTGGAAAGTAGTCGAAAAATCCAATTTTCCGACTTCGTTCCGACCGTTTCAGAGTACTCGGAAATATGAATGTCGAAAACAACAACAACAACAACAACAATAATCCCACAAGTGGAGTCTGGGGAGGGTAGTGTGACCTTACGTCCTTACCCCTACTTGGAAGGTAGAGAGGTTGTTACCAATAGACCCTCGGCTCAAGGCAAAAAATTGTCAGAGCCCGGGTTCGAAACGGAGACCTCTAGTGTGTGAAATGTCGGAAACTACATTAGTGAGAAATTTCCGACTTCCCTGGTCCAACAATTTAAATTGCCAAACAACCAGAAAACAGTCAGAATTTTATAGAAATCTGATTGGAAAAAAGTAGATTTTTGGGAGCCTTGCTCCTAAAGTAAGTTGATATGGACAACATTACTTCAAATATAAATAAATTTAATTGATAAGGACTTCTCTAGTGTAGATTTCATAGATCATTTCATCGGATTTTGTTAGCTTTTTTATTTTTAAATTAAGTTGATACAATTAATCGCAGCCCATATATGACGACAGTATAAGAATCAGATTTAAGAAACCTGAATAGGGAGAAATCAAGGAGTTGGAAGCTTAAATTGAAGGTAGGGGTCATTTTCCTCATTTGATAAAGTAAAAGATGAAAGATGGAAAAAGGAAGGAAAAAAGTCCTCCGTCAGAACAAGGAAACCAAATTCTTAACTGTACAAAAATAAATCTTTATGCTTGTTTCAATTTAATGGTTTGGGATATTGCACATCAGGAATTAATAACTCGAAAATTAACTACACAACAATCCTCCAGTTTTTTTTTTATAAGCATGGCTGAGTTTACAGTAATATGTGGATTTTTTTTGAAGGAATCAAGTTCGTTAAATTCAATTCAAATACAAAACGATCCTTCTAATCAAGAATAAATCTGTACGGCAGCAGCAGCATTCAAAAACGGGGCAGCAGCAGAATTCAGGAGACTTACCACTATGCCTTGTGCTGCCTCCGCCGGGAGGGAAATAATTCAAAAGATCCCGTCGCCGCCGTGTGCTGTCGCCGTCAGCGCTGCCGAGCCCAACGCCGCCTGAAATTGGCAAAGGAAGAAAGTGGTTAGAGAGAGGAAAGGGAGTTGGACGAAATAGAGATGAAAGGGAGAGAGACTTACCACTGTGCCGCCAGTCCAACGCCGCCCTATGCCGCCGTTAGAGAAAGAGAGTGGCAGCTGGGTTAGAGAGAGGGTTGAGAGAATGGGTAGGTTATAATTTGAAATTATTTTAAAACTTTTTTAGTCAGAAAATTAAATAATTTTTTTTAAATTCCGAGTACGGTAATTTTCACGGCTCACTATTCCAACTAGTCCGAATATTTTGGGGCGGTTTGGCCATACAAATTTTTTTACTTTTTTTTCAAAAAAAATTACTTTTTTTGAAATCAGTGTTTGGTCACGAAATAAGATTAATTTCAGAATTTTTCGAAAAGTTGAAAATTTTTAAAAAGCTGTTTTGTATTTCACTTCGAATCACTCACAAAAATTCAAAATAGCCCAAATTGTATTTATATTCAAATACAAACCTAACTTTCAAATATTATTTTTTTTCACTTTTTTCAGAATTTTACAATTCTTATGTCCAAACGCCCACTTAATATTAGAAGTCGAAATTATTTATTGTCCGACTGTTTCAGTCGGAAAAGTAATCAAAATTCCCTCTGAATTTTTGTAGTCGGATATGTCAGTCGAAATAAAACGAATTTCTGATAGTGCTGAGTCACAAATAAAAGCATAAGCTCCGGAAATAATGAATGTTGAATTTATATAGTTAAATTTGAGCATTACTTGTGTATCCATTTTAATGAGTAATTTTTTTTTAAAAAAAAATTACATACTTTATATTAGAAAATTATGTTTTAGTTATAAATAAAAAAGTAAGAGTGTTACTTTTAGTGTGTTTTGAAGAGGTGGGTTTTGTTTTAAATTAACTAATTCTTTCTATTATTATTAGTCTAATAAATAGTGGGTTGTTAATTAATATAGGAAATCTTGAAGGGATTGGTACTCTAATGATTGAAATTAAATGAAAAGATTAAACTTTTCAACTCAAAAAAGCTCAAGTTGGTTGCTTTATTATTTTAAAGTATCTAATAAAGCCAGAGTGCCCAAAAGTTGGAGCAATTCTGAGTTAGCAGAAAACCTCATCTACAACTCATCTCTCTTCTTTGTGAGTTACTGTTTCCATTTTTGCATTTTTGTTTAAGCTACGATTAATATTTAGTTAGTTGGTTGTTTGCTTGTTTTGAGATTCTTTCTTGATATTTATGCAGTCCTGAGAATGACTTGGTTGAGCTTGTATGGGAAAATGGTCAGATTATGATGCAAGGCCAGAAGGGGAGCCTTGGAGCAACGGTCAAGTTGTCCTCGTGTGATTCATAAGTCATGGGTTCGAGCAGTGGAATTAGGTTGATGCTTGCATTAAAGTAGGCTGCCTATATCACACCCCGACCCTTCCCCGGACCTTACGTGAACGCAGGATACTTTGTGCACCGAACTGCCCTTTATGATGCAAGGCCAGCCAAGTAGCAGTGGCAGAGGCAGAGCTTTTGCTAAGGGGTTCAAAAAACTAATAAGTTAAAAAAGTTTATTGAGATTGTATCTAGTGGGAATTGAACCAATCACCTCATAATGGTTTTGAACCCCCTTGACCACTAAGCCATGCTTTTGGGCTGTTTGACGGGGATTCAAAACATAATATATAGAGGTAAAAACCGGATTTTGCCTTATATAAACAGTGTAATTTTTCGACGAAGGGGGTTCGGGTGAACACCCTTGCGCCCACCTAAATCCGCCCCTGCCAAGTAGTGCTAAGAAGAACCCTATTCCTAATAAACTTCCATCAAAGATTGGGAATTTTGGTGGGATGGACTCTATGTTGAGTGATATGCCATTATACTGGTGAAATGGATTTGATTCAAGAGGATGAAGGGGTGCCTTGGTTAGTGTAAAGTATAGAGACAATAGAGAAATCTCTCTTGTATTGTATTCAAGAAATAACAAGTATATATACAAGTACATAGAACCTTAACTATGGAAAGAATCAAAAAGGAAATCCTATAAATCTGCTGTGAATCCATATAATTATGCTAGCTATGTATATACATAAGATTATGTCTACATTCAGATTATGTCTACATTCATTATCTAACACTCCCCCTCAAGCTGGAGCGTAGATATTGATCATGCCCAGCTTGTTACAAAGGTAATCAACTCGAATTCCATTCAACGCCTTTGTGAACAAATCAGCCGGTTGCTCTCCTATCATCATGTAGCCAGCGGAGATCAAGTTCTCCTGAATCTTCTCACGAATAAAATGGCAGTCAACCTCAATATGCTTAGTTCTTTCATGATACACCGGATTTGACGCAATATGGAGGGCAGCATGATTGTCACACCAGAGTTTTGCTGGTATTGGATGCTCTAACCCAATTTCAGTCAACAGATGATGTATCCACATAATCTCACATGTAGACTGTGACATAGCTCTATACTCGGATTCTGCACTAGATCGAGATACAACAATTTGCTTCTTACTCCTCCATGATACCAAGTTTCCTCCAACAAAGACACAATAACCTGTAGTAGATCTTCTATCAATTTTCGATCCACCCCAGTCAGCATCTGCAAAACACTCAATACGAGTATGATTGTGATTGCTATATAATATGCCAAGTCCAGGAGCTCCTTTCAAGTAACACAAAATCTGTTCCAAAGCTGCCCAATGTTTGACCGTTGGTGCAGACATGAACTGGCTAACAACTGATAATAGGTGAATTAGACTATAATTGGACCCTAAAGAACCACATTTTTGTATAGCTTTGTGGTAAAAAAGTGATAACCAAATGCTCTGATTAGTGCTTTTCATGCTTTGCAGGCTATATCCAACGAATAAAGTCGATGGAGCAAGTTTGGGATCAATTACGGAGAAAAGGAGGCCAATCAAACAATGCCCACGAAATGCACCAAGTGAAGAGACAAAAGCAGAGCTAAACTTGGCCTGCCGCGGTCAGACCGTAACCGCGGTAGGACCGCGGCAGAGCAGAGCTGCAGATTTCAGAGGACCTATTTGGCCGCGGTCCTGGCGTAACCGCGGTGGGACCGCGGCAGAACGCGGAAAAGCCAGGGACTAAAGTGTTAAGTCGGGAAAACTTGGTGTAAAACCCTTATAAAAAGTAGGAATTCGGCCACATTAGGGCAGATTTTACTTTTGAGAGTACTTTGGCAAGAGAAACAAGTGTGAGAGATCACCAAAAACATCATTATTCTTATTCTCTTTTATTTTTCTTTCAATCTTCGATTATGAATCTTCTAGTAGTTTATTCCTCCATTGTTATGAGTAGCTAAATACCTTAATCTAAGGTTTTGGTGGAACCCGTTGGGGATGACTTGGTTGTTTTATTAATATAGTTGGATTTGGTTGTTAATCTCTATTTGTTCATCTATGTTTTGATTGTGGTTAGTTAAAAGGGCCCTCAATTATCCGTTCCTATTTATTATGTATCTACTTGAGAGAGAGTGCATATTTAGGTGATTGTATGAACAACATCACTCCCGGAGTATAGACGAGAGTCATAACCGAGGGTTTAGAGGTTGCATTAGAGATAACGATACCTCGGGTGCAATCTAAGTGAACCATATTGTGAATCTAGCTAGCGTAGCTTGAGAGAGTGCGTCTAGTAAATTATCATATTTGCTTGAGAAAGATTTATGATAGCTGGAGCGTTCATGATTGATAGAGACAACTAAATCATAGTTATAAGACATATACAACCAAGGAAATTACCAACGGGGGAAACCATTGCCTTAGACCTTATTCCAACTGTTTACACATCAAGCATAGCTAATTTCCAGCTGTTACTTATTTTCAGTCTTTAGTTGTTAGAAAAATCAACCATTGTGAATCAAAAAGTTTGGGGAAACAGATTGTGTGAATTTTGTAAATCTGACAATAGTAACTGATAGATTAATTCTCTGTGGTTCGACTCTGGGCATAAATACTCAGATTATATTTGCAACGCCCGCGTAGTCTTTTGCGAGACTCAGTTGAGCGTGATCAACAACACTTACCGCAAAAGCAATATCTGGACGAGTCACAGTAAGGTAGTTTAATTTCCCAACTAACCTCCTGTATCTCTCTGGATCGTCAAAAGGACCACCATCATCTTTCATAAGATGCACATTAGGAATCATTGGAGTACTGCAAGGTTTAGCTGCCAACTTTCCAGTTTCTGCAAGCAAGTCAAGAATGTACTTTCTCTGAGACAAAAGAATTCCCTTCTTTCTTCTATTTACTTCTACTCCCAAAAAGTATTTCAACTGGCCCAAGTCCTTTGTATGAAACCTAGTATGCAGAAAAGACTTGAGGGAAGAAATCCCAGCATAGTCACTTCCTGTGATAACAATATCATCAACATATACAACGAGGAGAATAGTGCCAGCTACTGATTTTCGATAGAAGACTGAGTGGTCGCACTTACTCATTTTCAACCTAAACTCCTGAACTACCTCACTGAACTTGCCAAACCAAGCTCGTGGACTCTGCTTCAAGCCATACAAGGACTTCTTCAAATGACAGACTTTCCCATACCCCAAAACCGGGTGGTTGCTCCGTATACACTTCCTCCTGAAGATCACCATGAAGGAACGCATTCTTGATATCTAACTGATGTAAAGGCCAATTCTCGGACGCAGGTAGAGATAAATAAGCGGACAGAAGTGAGTTTGGCAACCGGGGAGAAGGTGTCAGAATAATCCGCCCCATAAGTCTGAGCATACCCTTTCGCCACAAGTTTGGCCTTAAGTCTTGCCACAGAACCATCTGGATTAACTTTAACGGTAGAGACCCACTTGCATTCCATTGGTTTCTTTCCCTTTGTTAAATCTACCGAATCCCATGTGTGGTTGTCCTGTAAAGCATGTATTTCCTCAAGCATTGCATCAGACCATCCGGGATGATTCAAAGCCTCCTTCACTATTTTGGGTACGGAGATGGAGTCTAGAGAAGCAATCATAGATCTAGACGTAGAGGATAAGTGGTCATAGGAAACAAAGTTAGCAACAGAATATGTGGATTTGCAAGTACGTGTACCTTTGCGAAGAGCAATAGGAAGATCAAGGTTATCTGGAGGATCAGGCAAAGAAGAATCAGATGATACAGGAACTGGTGAGGGACATGTATCATTTGTCTCTCGCCTCCGCGAATAAACTTGAACAATTGGAGGTCTTGCTGGAGCAGGTACTGAAGGCATAATAGTCGATTGGTGCTCAATAAAAGAACTGGGAGATCGAAGAGTATCATCTGATTGTGCTGTCAAAGTACGGGTAACCTGATATACTAGCCACTCATCTTCCTCCCCCTGGCTTGTAGAAATGGGAGGTGCATAGAAGAATGGTATAGTCTCTAAAAATACCACATCAGTTGACACTAAATATTTGCCAAGCTCGGTAGAATAACATCGATACCCCTTCTGAAGGCGAGAATAGCCCAGGAAAACACACTTCACGGCCTTGGGATCCAACTTGGTAAGAGATGGTCGAACATCTCGAACATAACATGTGCTTCCAAACACCTTAGGTTCCACCGGAAATAATGACTTATTCGGAAAAAGAACACTATAAGGCACATTACCATCGAGTACACTAGATGGCATGCGATTAATCAGAAAACAAGCCGTAGAAACCGCATCAGCACAGAACTGTTTAGGAACCTTCATTTGGAACAAAAGTGCTCGAGCTGTCTCAAGTAGATGTCGATTCTTCCTCTCAGCAACTCCATTTTGAGAGGGTGTATCAACACATGAAGACTGATATAATATACCATGTTGTCTCATGTAGGACTGAAATAACTCTGACATGTATTCTTTAGCGTTATCACTCCTTAGAGTACGTACTGAAGCATTGAATTGAGTTTTGACTTCAGCACAAAAGGCAGAAAATGAGTAAACACTTCAGAGCGGCTCTTCATAAAGTAAATCCAAGTCATTCGAGAAGACAAAATACTTATGCCCAGTTTTAGAAACAATCGGACATGGTCCCCAAACATCAGAATGGACCAACTCAAAAGTTGACTCAGCTCGCGTATTAACCCTTGGACTTAACGAGATGCGATGGTGTTTTGCAAATCGACATGACTCACAATCCAATGATGAAATATTCTGAAACTGAGGACAGAGCTTCTTTAACAAAGGCAAAGAGGGATGTCCAAGTCGACAATGTGCTTCAAAAGGAGACACGATACTAGAGCATGCAACAGACCGTGACTCCCATTCATCAAGAATTTAGAGATCACCAGATATATATCCTTTACCAATAACCTTCATCGTCTTAAGATCTAAAAACAAATAATGATCGGGAAAGAATGCAACACAACAATTAAGGTCTTTGGTAATTTTACTAACAAAAATCAAGTTAAAAGCCAAGTTTGGTAGACTTAATACAGATGACAGGGTAATAGAGGAAGTTGGTTTAACAGTTCCAGATCCAACACTGCTACAAGTTGATCCATCAGCTACAATAACCGGAGAGGGTGCTTTATGTGAGCGAAAGCTAGAAAAAATATTTGGATTACCTGTCATGTGATTTGTAGCACCAGAATCGATCACCCATTTATTGGAAGAGGTGATATGATATGTTTTATCTGACCCAGCAAAGGCAGTAACTGAAGAAGATTCCTTAACTGATTTATGATATTGAAGGAATTTTAGAAATTCGTCCGAAACCAATATTGTTGGACTAGGAGTTGTTGCATTATTATTCTTTACCATCATTTTTTTTTCCTTTCAATAACAAACTGATTAAACTAACAGAGGGCCCCGAAGCTAAAAGATACTCAAACAGATCCTGGTAGATACGAAATCAACAATCTATTGAACATGATTCAACTTTAATAATCCACTCAACCAAATAGGATATGAAATCAACAATCTATTGAACAGGATTCAACTTTAATAATCCACTCAACCAAATCAGAGAATCAAACGAATTTGTCCCCAACTCAAACAAAAATAGAGACCAAAAAAGTTTCTGATAAGGAAAGACCCAACAGACAATATCAAGTCACTAATTGATCACCACAGTGATTCTCACCAGTCAATTACTCAGATAACTAATCAGACCCAAAAAAATATGCTCCAACAAATCAGAGAAGTAGTCTGATCCAAGAGTCTCTCCAAACAACAGCACTTACCAAATCAGACAACTAGTCAAAGAAAGGAAGTAGAAAGGAATGGTCTAACCAGGTTTGGCCAACGAAATCAGTTGGACAGAAAATTTGATTCCACGTGCTTGCCAACGAAATTCTGCCAGAAAGTTATCAGTGGCGCGTGAACTTCAAGAACTTAGAATCCGGTGGGTTTCTTCAGATCGAAGGGAGGCGATTCCCCCTAGATAGGCTGTGACTGTTACTTCAAAAGTTTGCAGAAATTTCGGCGTGGCAGTGAACAAATTCCGGCAAGGCGGCAGACAAACTCCGGCTAGGCAGCGGACAAATTCCGGCGAGCTACAAGCTCGACTCTGATACCATGTAAAGTATAGAGACAATAGAGAAATCTCTCTTGTGTTGTATTCAAGAAATAACAAGTATATATACAAGTACATAGAGCCTTAACTATGGAAAGAATAAAAAAGAAAATCCTATAAATCTGCTGTGAATCCCTATAATTATGCTAGCTATGTATATTACATAAGATTATGTCTACATTCAGCTTATGTCTACATNTCACGCGCCGGCGCGTGGGGGCGCGTGGGTCAGATTTGCCGGAATATCGCCGGCGCGTGAGGGCGCGTGAGGGGGTGTTTTCCGGTGGGGTTTACTGGGGTTTGGTCGCCGGAGCCTTGGGAACCCTGTGGTGGTGTTGGTTTTTGCACAACACTGATAATTAGTGACTTTGACGCAATTAGTCACTTAGGTCACCGGAAAATTGCACGGTGACTGAGTTGTTTCTTCCCGGATATCGTTGGAATGACGCACAACGATAAATTTCTCACGGTTGCTCTGATACCATGTGAGAAAGCACGGGAGAAAATATATTATTGATGTATATTCATATGTTACAATGAGCCCTATATATATACACACATAACATGTCCTACTCCTAATATATATTGGATTAGGGTTATTTATTTACTCCTATTTACATGACTATTCTAACAGAAACAATTGAAAAATAAAAAGGATATGGTACCTAAAGAAAGCATAGTTAGAGCCATCTTCAAAGTACTTTGTTCCAAATTCTTTGTACATAGGCTAGTCCTCCTCTTAGTCACATCAACCAAAATGTGTGATAGATGGATACAGGTGTGGTTTTATGGGTGTGGATTATGATATGTCATCACCTAAATCTTAGGATTGGGGAATTAGGAAAGGTGGTCAGATACGGGTGCTGAGATACCACTAATGTATAGTATAACATGTATATTTGTATGACTAACTCATTTGAAAGATCATCCGACAAAAACAAATACAAATAAATTGCTTTAAATATCTAAGCTTTTATTCCATAAGTATATCACATACAATTTCCTTATCAAAACAAATTCCATAAGTATATCACATACAATTAAATTTTTCAGAATACTTTATCTGAATACTTATGTAAAACCCAAAATTTGAAACCTAAAACAAAGCCAACCTATGCTTCTCGGCCATAGTTGTAGCCAATGCAGCCTAGGTAAATTAACCAAGTGCGGTGGTATCTCACACCCATGCCCTTATCAATTTGGATCAACTTTGGTGCAGTGTTTTTTTTGAAGGATCCATGTAAAATAGGCAACACTTGTCCTTTTCCCATGTCCTTTACTATTTTCTACTTTGTTGGTGGCTAGTTCTTTGTGTTTGATTCTCAGTACATCTTGATTATAATTTGTGCCCATTCTCGCATTTGTTCCCACATTGATATAGTTTCTCTCCTTGTTTACCTAACATATTTATGAGCTTAACTCATGTTAGGTTTCAGAAGGCCCAAGTATTGATTTTGGAAGTGAAGATGGAGTTAAGAAGATTAAAGTATCTGAAGTAAGGAACCTCCTTCTATCTTTCTTGGTAATGCAGGCTTGAGTTAAAACTTGCAATCTATATCTCTTAAGGCTATCCATCTTGAATAATTTAGTAATCTTGTGTTAGTTCTCAGAAGCATATGTTGCAAATATTCTGATATACAAAGCATTAACCACATCAGGATGATCATTAGGAATGGTTCATAACTGATTAACTCTCTCAGACACGAGTTTCGAGGAGAGAGCCCAAAAACTCTTTCCGGTGATTCTCTTCTTTTCCGATGGCTATCTTCCTGTTCTTAACTACTATGCTCTTCAATTTTTCAGTTTTCTGACTTACTAGTTATGATGGGAAAATTATTCTTTATATCTGGCAAAAAATCTTTCGAGCTTCAAAACATTAGCGCTGACTTTAACAGATGGTTTTCAATCACGGAACGCAGAGGAAGGTTTGTTAGCAAGCTTATCATCAATGCTGATAATCTGCACTGGGTATGCGATGCTATGTTACAAGCATCACTGGGGAGAGGAAACCTCTGTAGAAGATGGGGACGGAAGATTGAAGCTTACACATACAGAGTGTATCAAAACTACAACATTCATGGTAGATTCCTAAGGGTTGAAGCATGGCTTGGGGACAGAAAGATGCTATTATATTCCAGAACATGATTACAACACTGGGTGGACTGATATTGCTAATAAAGTCATACGATTTCTGGGTAACTTTTCTGATTCCACGANAAGTTTGAAACAAAGTTAGCCTCTTGGAAGAGACAATATCTTTCTATGGGGGGAAGTATTGACACTCATTAATAGTGTATTGGATAGTATTCCTACTTATCTCATGTCTCTGATTCCAATTCCGAACAAGGTAGTCAAGCAGTTGGAATAAAATGAGAAGAACCTTTCTCGTAGGGAAGGAGGCAAGTAAAGGTCACAAACTTCACTTAGTCAAATGGTCAAAAGTTACCATGCCAAAGCAACTTGGTGGACTAGGTATCAGGGACCTCAACATACGTAACAAGTGCATGCTTATGAAGTGGCTATGGAGATATTGTCAAGAAGGGAATACGCTATGGAAACAGGTGGTGACTGCAATTCATGGATCTCAAAGCCACTGGTGCACCAATCTGTCAAGATCTTGACATATGGAGTAGGGCCTTGGAAATTTATCAGGAAACTTTGGAATGAATTCTCTACGAATACCTCTTTCAAGTTAGGAAATGGCATCAACATCAAGTTTTGGAAGGATAGATGGTTACAAGGGACTGTCCTAATGAATGAATTCTCAGACCTCTACCAGATAGTAATGATCAAGATTCCTCTATCTCTCAGAATTGGCAAGACAATTGCTGGCAAATCCAATTCAGAAGGGATTTCCAAGACTGGGAAATTCCACAGTTGTTGAGTCTCCTGGCTAAATTAGAGGGATACTCAGTCAACCACAACATTGCTGACAATATTAAGTGGATGGATGGCCTCTACTCAGTGAAAGCAGGGTACTCTCATTTATGCTCAACTAATGAAATCATTGATAGATGGCCTTGGAAGTACATATGGAAGACAAGCCTTCCCCCAAAGATCATTTGCTTCAGCTGGATAGCCCTTAATGAAACTTGTTTAACACAGGACAACCTTAACAGAAGAGGTATGCCAATTGTTAACAGATGTTTTATGTGCCGGCAACATTCAGAGTCCAACAGACACCTTCTGCTACATTGCCCAGTTGCCTCAGACATATGGTGCATGTTTCTTTCTATCTTTGGTCTCAGTTGGGTCATGCCACAAAGCATCAGAGAAGTCTATGAATGCTGGTCTGGTTGGAAAGTTGATAGAGCCATCAGAAAAGTCTGGCAGATGATCCCTGCTTGTATCTTTTGGTATGTCTGGACGAAAGGAATCGCAGATGTTTTGATGGGATATCAACTCCAACACACACACTCAAAGCTAGATGTCTCCTTTGGTTATTTAGTTGGCAGTATTTAGCCCCCGTAGATTGCCATATTAACTTTTTGGATTTTGTCAGCTCTTTTGCTTTAGCCTAGTATTTCTTTTCTTTTTTGTATCAAAGCTGACTCTTTCCCCCTCTTGTACTTCTTGCATCTTCTTGATGCCTTTTTCTATATAACTCATTACTTCATCAAAAAAAAAAAGGAATGGTTCATTCCAATTTAACACATTTATCTCTAACATTAGTGTCTTTTTTTATTTATGATGAACAAAATAAGAAATAATCGACAAGCTTTCTACGCAGCAACCTCAAATTGAAATTTAATTCACACTCTATCTACTATACTGTAGTGTCGCAACTGGAATATGAAAGTACATGTAACTTGTCCTCCTAAAGTATAACGTTAAGATTTTAAAAAAAGAAAAGGTTCATTGTTAATTGATGAGTTATGGGACGTCAGATACAAATTGTGTTTGTAAAGTTTATGGTAGCGAGATTGTTAGAGGATGTCTAGTAATGAGCAACCAATGGAACATGTTAATCTAACATTTAACTAATATTACATTCCCAAAGTGGTTTACAGGATTTGTGCTTCAGTTCAGTTAGCTATATGCACTTGGGATTGCTTTCTTTAACCAAGATTATGCCTGATTTATTAGTTTTGACTGGATATTGAGCAGTTTTTTCTGAAGGACATTATTTGTCTTAAAGGAGAATAAACTGCAACATGATGCAAAACTACTGGTGCTTTGTAGCTTTATCTACATGACAAACCCTTCTTTTCTGGAAACAAAGGAGAAACATTACTTACATGTCAAGAACATATGTTCACCTATAATTGTTTTGAAAATGCATATAACATGGTTCACCCTGTCCAGTCTGTCTATCCTCCCTGAGTTTATATTCTTTTCATTTTGGATGTCCTTTAATATAGGTACTTGATATTGAAGAAATGGCATGGGCCCCAAAATATGGGTTGAAAGGCATGATTGATGCATCCTTGCGAGTAAATGTAAAATTCAACACCTGTAAACATAATGAGATGATTATGCCTCTCGAATTTAAAACTGGGAAGGCAACAAATGGACAGGCAAGTCTTTTTGAGCATTTGCAAAATAGTACCACTTAGTTGTGAAGTGATGATAATTTTCCACTTTACACGTTCTTGCTAGGCACCTAACCTCTAGGCTATTGTTGGCATTACATTCTGCAGACAGCTATGGAACATAATGCTCAAGTGATGCTGTATACCCTTCTAATGTCAGAAAGGTGCACCGAACCCTGCCTATTTGCATAACTATTCACCTACTGTTGGCATATGCTGTACTGCCATGTAGATTTTCCTTTAGTTCTTCTTCATAGATTCATCTCGTTGCCATCTATTTTTCTCCTAATTAGATACTCGTAGCATATTGGACATGGTCTCCTGTATTATCTGCACACAGATCAGACGCAGGTAAAATCAAGCATTTGATTTTGAGAAGTAGGTGAAAACTAGCATCTGTAAGAATTATAAAGATTGCTTTTCTGTTCTTTTTTTTTTGCAACCTTCTAAATTACACTCATTTTTCAAGGGAATTACTGTTCGAAGATCTGACTTGGTTGGCCTAATAATGCGCCGTAATGAACTTGCAAATGATCTTCTCAAGACCACTATAACTCAACAACTGCCACCAATGTTACAGGTAAGGTATCTCCGTCTCATCCTGTTATACTTGGGTTAAATACAGATAGTGTTTGCTAGAACTGAATATTTTGCATTAGTACTGTCTAGTCATTGAATATGTGGCTGATCAGTTTCCACATAATGGCGTGTTGTCCACTAAGCATTCAGGTTACACCGCATTTCCTTGTGTCCTTCTATTATTTTCTGTTCGTGCACAGTCCTGTAAATTTATAGAAATTGTTAAGGTTAGAAGGCTCTTAATTGTATTCTGTAACCTGTTCTCTCTGGTACCACATAAAAATCTCTACTGAAATATATCCTCCCCCTCCCCTTGATTTGGTTGTCTTCATAGAGGTGAATGTTTTGCCCGCTAAGTGTTGTTCATTCCGAATACACCTTCATAATTAGTATTGAATACTAGTTCTTCCTGTAGAGACCTAAGCATGGTTGTCATCTTCCACCACTATCCCAGGCCACAATCATTTATCGCCTTAATTATAAGTAAACACCATAAAAGGGATCAGAAAACTGAATTAGATTATTACCTGACCAAGAGGAACTCATTTAACANAGGCTTCCAGGTAGCAGCCGAACTTCACAGGCACAGATCTTCATCAGCAGTTGTGGCGAATTCATAAAGATGAATTTATGGGTTCGATTGCAATTATGAGGTATTCAAATTTTTTCATGTGTTATTATCTCCATCTGAAGTACATATCTTTGTCCAAGCGTAATTACTCCTGCTTGGTTTTGAAGATACAACCTCATACAACTATTTCTGCAAAATGAGCAGAGTTCTCATCTGAGGAAGATGATAGTTGATCTGGAGGTGAATGCTCTACTTAAGTATGAAATTTGATTTGCAGCTCCTCAGCCACAGCCCTCTTTAATGAATGAGAAGAAAATCTTACCTTTGAAATTCTGCAGGTGCCTAGGTTTGATAGTGGATGTCAATTTAGTCAAGAGCCTGCCATCTCATACATTTGGTCAGAGAAAAACTTGAATGACGATCAACGCCGAGCCATACTTAAGGTGAAAAGTTATAGAAACTCTCTATAATTGGGTTTATATCTGCACCTGCAAATCAAAAGTATTGTGTATTATCAGAATCTTAATTGGATAAACCAGATACAAAGCAAAATTTACAGCATTCGAGTTGGCAGAACCCTCAACCATATCAAACTGTCAGAATTGTATTGTGAATTATCAGAACAGCGTCATATATAATTGTCATTAATGCAGATACTTACGGCAAAGGATTATGCGCTGATACTAGGAATGCCAGGGACAGGTATAAGCTGTGAAGGCGCTGTTGATGAGAGGTTCTTCCATTTTGCTTACCTCCTATACATTCTCAGCTGTTGATAATCTGCTTCTCAAACTGAAGGCTCAGGTCTCCATCCTTGATGCTTCTATTAGAAACTTATTGCTTTGATCTTTATTTAACTACTACGCTGTATCTCAAAAATTTAGAAGGTATAAGCTGTAGAACTGGTGTCAACATAGTATAAAATTCTTGCTTTAAATTATCTTGGGAAAGCTAGATTTAGCAAACTAAAGAAATCTATATTTGGTACAAGGTAGGCATAGGAGTTGATGTGTAGCATTAGATGAAACTGGTTGATTTAAGAAGGGCCTACTATGGCAACTACACTAGTTTCTACTGGTATTAGTATTACATCATTATTTCCTCTTTATCCTTCGATCATTTAGAAGCATACACCTCACATTTTACTACCTCAAATAACCTGAAATAAATTCTAGCATAAAGCTGCTTGGTGGTAACTCCATCGAATAAAATCCTTTTTGAATCACCAAATTGTCGCATTCATTGAAATCACTTCCTCCACTTGTGAGAATTTGATGCATATGCAATGTGGTCAGTGAATGGGCATTAAGGAGTATCTCCAGCTGTCATTTGAAGCTCTGCTGGAAGTATGTGTTCTCTCATGGAGTAAGGGGTTGAAGGAGCCATCAAGGAATTGGATGATATCCCTTTAGAAAAGGCTGGAAGACCCTTTTAGATGCGAANTCTTAGTTTCTGACAAAGGTGCCAAAACTTGGTAGCGCCTAAGAAGCTAGACATGTAATCAAGGCAATCTAACTGCATTCTGAATACGAATCGATTTGCCTAATGATGAGGAGTCAGCAGTTTTGCAGTGTGCAATGTGGAAAGGACTAAAGGAACATATTTGCAATTGAGCAGAAATTGCTTCCTTTTTTGTTAACCAAATGGGTAAAATAATGGGGATGATAAATCAACATGCATGTTTTCCATATGAGCCTAATCAATGTTGACATGAAAATCAGCCATCTTTTCTTGGTGTATGCCCAAATACTTATTCTCATCTTAGTTGTGCTTATACATCGTATTATGGGTAACATCAATATTCAATATTATTGGGACTTTGTTGAAATTAAAAACTTATACTACTGGATCCTGAAAATTTTCATAGGCATATGGTGGCACCACAGAAGGTAGCGGTTTGGGCGGTGTGTTTGATTCACTTGTTAGCCATCTAACAAATGTACATACTAATTTTCTTCAAAAATGGGATCAGTTGATTGACTTGGAGGCTAAAGAAGTTGAGGTACAATTCATTGTTGACCGTAAATTAAGAAATCACTTCATGGCAATTCAATATCTCTTTACTTGTTATTTTTTTTTAGGTTGCAAAGAAAGAAATTTGGTGTTCACAAAGTTCAAAGAATGACCTTTACGCTCTATCTTCTCTTGTCCTTGATACGTCAGAACGAACCACACCAACAAACTTTTGCAAAGGAAATCAATTACTTATCACTTTGTACATCGAGATTGGACTTCCTTGGGCACTCATCAACAGGATGGAGATGCTCTTAATAGTTATAATTTTCCTATGAAAAAGTTTGAATCCTCACTTAGGAATGGGGATTATGTGGTATTCTTCTTTCTCATATTCTTTTTGTTTTATGCACTCCTGAATGTTATATTTTCACAGCAATCAGCTGAAGCAAGAATTACTTGTCCATAGTTGTAACATCATCTGTTTGCCTCCAGGAGAAAAGTAGTGAGACAGAGCAGTTATATGCATCTATAGCAAACTGCATGATCCTGTCCCTGTGAAATATATTAATTGGATGGCTTGAACTAATAGTTCAATTAGTTATTTTGGTGAAGTAATGAAGCTTCTTAGAATTCAATGAATCAACTATGCCTTGATCCTGAATTAGTTGTGGTCAGCTACAGTAATCCTCTTATTCATTCCACTCTATCAGGGAGCACATGCCTTGGTGGCTCTGGGATCATCCCACAAATTTAGTAATTCTCTACTAGCGTCAAACCCTCGGGCTTTACTTGGGTTTGGGACCGCTAGGCTTCGTGAAGCTCATAGAGGAAAGGGAGTTCTCACTATTCAATAACAAAAAACAGAATAATAGTCAATATTTTCTTAAAAAATGGAGTAATTTCTGATTTAGTTGGGGCCATGGCTTATGTTTGTATAAGTTGCCTGCAAATAGAGTAATTTCTAGTTTCATTGAGCCTCTCATTAGCTGAACTTTTTGTTTCGCCCCTGCACTTTCAGCTCAGCGTAGTGTATGAGTTGTGATCGTTTGAATTGAAAGTGCTGTCTTATAAGCGCTGTATGTTTGGTTCTATTCATGGTCATGATCAATTGACGGTATGACAATATAAATTTTAAACTTTTCAGATATTGAGCACTGAACCTGGTGGTATACTAATAGCTACTGGAGTTGTTGTAGATATGAGTTGCTCTCGCATCTCGGTGAGTATTAGATCTTTATTTGGTATTAATTCTTCAATGCAAGGAGCTATTACTTTATAGTGTTTGTCATTGCTGCAAAAAGCCTAGAATGTTTCAGTTCCTTCTTTTCATTCTCCTTAGATGGAGCAACCCGAACTTTTCAAATAATCTCATTTGTTCCATTGAAAAGTAGGAAACTTATATTTCTCATTTGCCAATTATCTTCATTAATGCTGTTAGATGTCACTTTTGTCCCTTTCAACAGCTGAAAAGCTTTTGCCTTTCTTTAATAAATAAGGTAGCTCCAAACTATACAAGGAGATGATTAAGAATGAAATAGTTTGATTTGTTGAGACAAAACATAACAAAAAAGTTAGAGCCCTGACCATTAACAAAACTAAAGCTTCACATGGCTCTTCCTTTTTATCCCACTTTCAAAAGAAAAACTACTTCAGGACCTGGAAAGCTTTTTCCAAAATGAAAATTAAAGAAGTCCATATACGGAAGTCTTCTAAACCAGTGTTCGTCTTAAGAAAAAATTACAACTAAAGCATACTAGTGTTTAGCTTACTGTATTTTGTTAGGGCTAAAGCATTCTTTTGTTAATATATCTATATCTATACAAGATTTCCCTACGACCTAGCCTGTCTATCTTATCATAGTATTGTTTTCAAGTGGTAAAGGTCCATTGTCACTCATTCTGAAGTGAGCCAGGCTACATTCCCTTGTATGTCTTTGATTTAAGAAATAAAATATTTGTGGATTTGTCATAGTCCTTTATGATAATTCTGGCACTAATTAACAAGTTTGGAATATAAAATGCCCTGGGTACTCCTTTAGATTTTGGGTCCGATAATATGTAAAAGGAAAAAAGCATGCGCAGATTTTAACTTGCAATATTTGCTTTCATAATTCAGGTATCTCTTTCCAAACGCTTAAGGCTTCCAGGTAGCAGCCGGACTTCACAGGCACAAGATCTTCATCAGCAGTTGTGGCGAATTCATAAAGATGAATTTATGGGTTCGATTGCAATTATGAGGTATTCAAATTTTTTCATGTGTTATTATCTCCATCTGAAGTACATATCTTTGTCCAAGCGTAATTTACTCCTGCTTTGGTTTTGAAGATACAACCTCATACAACTATTTCTGCAAAATGAGCAGAGTTCTCATCTGAGGAAGATGATAGTTGATCTGGAGGTGAATGCTCTACTTAAGTATGAAATTTGATTTGCAGCTCCTCAGCCACAGCCCTCTTTANAGTAATGATAATAGCCCCGAAAGAACTGGGGATCACCAACAGCTGGTACGAGAATCCTAGCGCTCTGAATTATCAACCTGTAAATCATTACCTGCATCGTGAGATGCAGGCTCCGGGCAAAAGGGACGTCAGTACATTTGAATTGCACTAGTATGTAAAGCAACTGAAAGAAAGAACTGCAATTGCTGAAACTGAAACTGAGCTTCTAACTGAGAATTGATAATTGATACTGAAATGATAACTATTGAAACAGAAACGATAACTGATAGCTGATAGCTGATAACTGATAACTGATAACTGAAATGATAACTGATAACTGAAATGATAACTGAACCGATAACTGATAATTGATAACTAAAATGATAACTGATAACTGAACTGATAATTGAACTGATAACAGATAACTGAACTGAACAAAGGAAGTAAGGATATGAATACTCCCTCTTCTGAATGATGAACAACCTGTTTATCTGAATATTAAACTGCGGCCTCAGGCCCAATATATATGTGTGCACAACTGCGGCCTCGGGCCCAAGTATACGTATACATAACTGCGACCTCAAGTCCAAAATGCATAAAGCATAAACTGTGGCCTCAGGCCCAAAGATGCATAAAGCATAAATTGCGGCCTTAGGCCCAAAGACAGGTGTTCAACATTCAGGAACTGAGAATCATACTGAAATACATGATGCTGAAATACTGAATCATACTGAGTTACATGATACTTGAATGCTGAATCACACTGGGTTACATAATACTGAATAGGACTGGACTGAGACATGTATTCTTGAACTGATTATGAACACTGAAACTTTAACTGTTTATGACATGCTGAGTAAGCTATACTGAGACTCAGGGACATCAAGCCCAAGTCTATAAATACGAACTGAGCTCACAACATTCAGAATGAAAGTCATGAACGAGTTATAAAGCTAGAGAATAGAAGTTCTACAACTATTCAAGGAATTAGGCTAAACTATATTTCTGAGGCAATTAGTAACGTGGGAAAAGGAACATAATGTGGGGAGAATTATTAACATTCCCAAACATAGAGAGTTAGCCTCACATACCTTAACTTCCTGCTCTTGAGCGTAATACAACATTTGTCAACCCTTTCAACTTTAATCTATAACAATACAAGTCAAAGGGATTCCATATTAGCTATGATGCTCATGTTTTGGTCACTTAAGTATCTTATAAAACACTTGGTGAGAATAAAGCTTCGTGGTCCTTATTAATGGTGTCTCTACACCCAATAACTCATTCTCTTTTCCCTAGATAAATTCTAAAGTCTCAAATGGTCATAATCAACATTATTCTTAATCACCCATAAAGTAAACAACACCCTTAACCAATAATCAACAATCAACACCCCAAACCTATAATCGTTCATGCTTTTCTATCAAACCCATCAACTCATATCTCATGAACTAAGGTTTAAAATCATTAAACCAATGCTAGAATCAATTAGAGGGTGAAGACATTACCTTCTTGACGTTCAATCTTCTTGAATTCAAGTTCTAGGGTTCCTTCTCTCAACAATGATGCCCCAATCAAATATCTAATGATTTGGAGGATTTACCCATGTTAATAAGATGTTAGGGAATTGAAATTAACTTAGAATCACCATTAGAACTTACCTTGGGTGGCGGAAGGACCCTTACGGAGTTAGGTTTTTGAGAGCTTCCCTTTCTAGAGCAAGTTTTTATGTTTTGGGGCTGTGGCGGACGAAATATGGCTTTAAAACGACCCCCCACGAGCGCGCCCGCGCACCTGGAGACCTGCCCGCGCTACTGACCTCGCAAAACGGCAGTAACACTGCCTAAAAATTAGCGCGGTCGCGCTATGGGCGCGTTACCGGGCGCGCATATCACATACTGTTCTGTAAAATGCGCATAACTTTTTGCACAGAGATCCGTTCGGGCTCCATAATATATCGTTGGAAAGCTATTTCAAAGGCCTACAACTTTCATTCTTTGAGTTTTCCCAAATACCTTACACATTTT